TAAAGTAATGGAATATGTACGACCGATACCGGAAATTGTGAGAAATTGTTCCAAGGAACAATTACAGATGAAATATTAATTGATAAAAATCTAGCCGACGCAATTCCACTGCCTAACCACACACGCACACATAAGTGGAAAATACGTCGTGCACGGTAAGCTAACGCATTGCCAGTCGCATAGACATGTTATTATTATATGAAATGAAGTCATCGTTCCCCGTTGCTCTCGCCCAACCAAGTAGCACCTGGGCACGTGACAGGGTTCGAGCAACGAACACGGAATAATTATCCTGAAAATCCTGATTAAAACAATTATTACTTTTTGCTCTTATAACGGGCTACTCCTCTTTGATTCTTCTTCATTTCATTTTGCAATAAAAGTGACTCGACTTTGTATTAATAGAAATTAAAAATCAAAGATTGACTATTTATTAATATTGTAAAATTTCGTTATCAAGACTCTAAGCAAGACTCTGCAATAAGATAAATGACTCTACGTAATTTATAACCCTCGGGCGATCCCGTCGTCAAAGCCAACGTAAGACATAACATAAGTATAACAGACATGTCACTTTGACGCAGAAATCTACCCGTCGCGAAATACTTTCTTGTACATGGTCTGTAATATCAAATTTATCCAGAACGTTACGATCAAGCTTAATCTGTGTGTATCAAAATACACTGCTTAATTTTTATTTCTGTCTACAAGCAACGTGGTAGTACGTATTTCTGACATAATTCAGTACAAATTGGTAATCTACAATTGCATATTGACAATGATACTTCACGAATATTCGTATTTATATTAAAAATATCAATGAAGACAAATATTAATCTTAGACTACTCCACAGTAAACTGATATATTATACATATACCGTATTCAAATAGTAAATAAATTTAAGTCATTTTCATTTCTCGATTTGTCCATAAATGACGGTATAACTGTTGAAAATAATAATTAACACACTAACGGGTGAAATAACATTTTATTAACGTACTAACTATCATAAAAATGAACTCTAATACCAAAGGTGTCCAAATGCCATTCACAAGCTACAAGCAATTACAAGCTCCCCCTCGTAGGTTTCCCCTACTACCGACCTCAGATTGACTCGAACGAGTCAATCCAAATCCCATAGTGAAGATACCCCTGGATGGGAAGAATACTGCTCGTAAGTAGTAGATGAACACCTCTGGGCCTGCCCTTTTTAATGGACAGAATACAAATACTCATTCCTTCTGAGTATGTACGTCTACCATACCAAATATGTTTATGGAACACTGTACATGCTGGTGAAACACAGTAGTATCTTCCCTGCATTTAACGCTCACACTCCATTAAAATGGTCGTGAGTACACGCCAGTACGTCTCGGTACTCTACCCGTGTACGTAACCGAATGCGTTCTTTGCCATTGGCAACGAAAGCACCGGTCACGATAACTGGAAATCGCAATGCACTTTTCAACGGTTATACATGCACAACGTGCTAAATTGTTCCATAACACGCGGTTTTTCACTAGGGCGTGCATATCGATGCACAGGTGACATAACTTAATACGTCTTTTTTTTATGCACCGATACTTTATTGCGATTCCCAGTACACGTGTTCCACTATTCATGGAACTTGCAAACACGAATGATACCTTTGTGTCTCATGACACTGGTTCCGGTATTTGAAACGTGCTGTCGCGTCTCGTGGTATTGCGCTAACTGCTATAACATTCTCATCTGAGAAGGTACCACCATGTTTTCCCCCCTATTTTAAACATACAGGTGTGGTTTCCGTTCTTTCTACTCTATATTCGAATCTACCGTCCACATTTAATTCACACATTATGAGTTTATTATTATTTGTTAAAACAGCTGCCGTATTTACAGACCATTGTGAATTTATTGTATTCTCTCAATTATGTAATTTTCCTTATGTAAATCCTATATCATTCTATGTTCATACATAATATCAGTATCGACTGTATTGAAATGACTACAATGAAATTATTACACACATCGTCATCAAAGTACTGCATTTTCTAGTGAAATGAATAACATACTGCCACGTTCTCGATATATACTCAATCGAAAAATACCAATTGTTTAAAAAATAGAATGCTTTGTCTTAAAATATTCAAAATTGAACAAAATTGAACAGTTAAAGGAACTATATTATGAACAATGTAATTTCGTCTGCATCATGTTCGTCTCTATACTGAACAGTGAAAATTTAACTCATAAACATACTTTTAATACAAAATATTTATAAATAATAAGCGCGGCGTACAAGAAGAGCCTAACCTAGCTAAGAAACACAACAGATCAAACACTATTCGTTCACTGTACTCGCCAAAAGCACGTATACAACCAGTCGCCCGTGCCGCTTCGGACCAATCGTCCTACGACATGATTGGGGACTGGAGGAATAAAAACATGCACTCACCCGATGACTGAAGACCTCCCCGTAAGACTCGAAGAATCTCAAAAAATGATGTAGCTTCGCCCGTGGACATCCTCTACAGTGGTCGTTAAGAAGCATCTGATTAATCTGAAAAAAGGAACAGAACTCGTTATAACCTCTTCTCAAAATACTCTAACTGTCTCAGGTGAAATGAGTAAATAATTAGACATAAAAAGATACTTACAAACTCTGTTGGTAGAACTTCGCCCAAAAACGTCCTCTTTGGTGATGCACTGAATCTACCATCGCGAACGAGTACTATTAAATAGAATACAATTTTTAAATAAACGACTATCGCCCCAGAAGATCCCAACAGGCAAACAAATGACTCTAGTTTCATGACTCAAAATGCAAAGAGTATCCCGAAACTCTGAAAGTAATTGATTATACGCAACAAACACTGATTCTACTTTCGCGAGGACCTAACATCTCCGTTGAGATTCTAATCGGAGCCAGTTCGCTCCGCGTAAACAGAAAAAACTTCTACGATGTAAACACTGACTCGACTGGACCGCATTGCGCGCGGTCACCAAACACACTGAAAAAAAAACCGTAAAATTATTAAAATTGAAACAATTTCGCGACCGGAATGTAGTAAAGTACGGAAGTTTTCAATTTGAACGTCTGAAAGTATCTTCGTTTAAATTTCCTAACGGTAAGGGAAGCCATATTCAATGCTTCAATAACGCGTTTGAATGTAAAATATTTTTGGAAAGAATTTTTGTTCGATGATAACGCAGTACATCCCGAAATCGCGATTATGCTTACGATCAAAACAATCAAAATACGATGAAATGAAAATATGCAGTGAAGTGTAATCTATTTGTTACAATACGTCACCAGAATTCACCAATTTCCCGCCAAATTGCATCCAATGGGTGAGTTCACAGTCATGCCATCAGTGGCGCGTTCTTTCTAGCCGGAATTCTGAAACAGAAAATAAACGTTAATACCAAGTAATTGTACTAAATTAACGATGATTGAGTCACAACGAAACAATTATTGACTCGATGTGTCGTCAAAGATTGCAAATGTAACAAAAACTGCGTAAATACTAATTGGTATCGTGGGGGGAACAGAAATCGTGAGAAGTTCACTTTATCCAGCAATACCAAGTTAATTTACGATTATGTACACTGAGTTGAATAGATATTAAATGAAAACAACGATAGAGTGCTAACGAAGATACTAATAGCATAAATGATTTAAAGTGAAAGGTAATAATACTTACTTCGCCACGAGTGAGATCACTTTACGTCTAATCACTCCAGCTTCCCCGAGACGAATGACCGTTAGGCTGCTATGACTGGCTGTGATTGGTTTATTCAGTTATCTTACAGGGCCGTGATTGGTGGATCAGTATGTGAGGAATATTTCTTTCTATTTGAACGAGGTAGAATATGCACCATCGTATTATATTCTAATATATTTTTCTTGTGTGTACCCGACATTAAATCAGAAGGAAATAACTTATAAAACGGAAAAACACAGGCACACACTATCCCTGACAATTTGATATTGCAATGCGTTTTAGATGGAAAATATTAATTTTGCTGCCGTCTTCTCGAAATTTTAAATCCTGCAGTGGTACCCTAACGCCATCTATGTCTAGAAATGGCGCCAAAGTTTATGAAGTACAATCTGACAGATATTACCAATTAAATAATAGATAAAAGATTTTCTTTATGAAGAAAATGCAACTTGACAATACTATAGACGTTTGGCTAGCTGAACTCGAGGTGGATCGAATGAACTCCAGATAACGGTCATTAGATAAAAAAAATGTATAAAAACAAATAAAAAGGGAACGTGTAAAAAGTAACATTACTAAAATGTCCATTAACGATGCATGTAAAATAAGTTATTTTCTAGATAAGTGACAAAATACATATATTTTATTGGCGTCATGTTTCATAAGTATTACATTCATCCTTTAAACTAGAGCAGTGCATATGTTTTTTCCTGCCAAATCATATTAGATACACGTACCTAATATGAACTTTATTGGTAACATTGAACCTGACACTAAAATAGTAATTTCTCTAAGGTCCCAAAGACTCGGAACACGAAACAAGTGATACAAGAAGCTGTACTTTCTATAGTCAATACATAATATTTTTATCAACACAAATATTAAGACACATTTTTTACATTTGTACAAAGACGTTTCAAATAATTTTTCTCAGGTATTCGTGGAGGCATCGCGAAAGTCAGTGAAAGAATCCGTTTGAACAAGCGTCAACGATGTTTCTTCACCTCTTGTTCGTACGATTTCCGGAGCGCTCCGAGAACGTTCTGTCCGAAAGTCCCTTGTTTCATCGGTTTGAATTTCATGTACTGCAGTGTTTACATGTTTCCTCTGGGCTGATCGTATTTTTGATACAAATTTGCTGTGTGTAGAATAATCAACAGAATTCTGGTGATTTGAAGAGTCGGTAAGAGACCGACTCTTTTCTATATCTTCTACTTTCGGTCTAAAAATAATGGATTAAATAAATAAATTTCTCTTACGGTTGTAAAAAGTAGAAAACCGGAGATTTTTTCCTACTGAAATGGCAGCCATTTTGTTGATTTGTTGCTACATTTTTTTACATTTTGTTTAGCCAATTTGGCGATAATTGCAGCGTCTACATTGATTAGTTTAGGCTTCTGTGTACCACTCTTTAGTTTATCTATATTCAATGTCAGATGCTGTATCTGCACCCTGAGCATCGCGTTTTCATAAACCAACCTAGCATTTCTCTGTACTACCTAAGAGAGTATAAATAATACTTTAATCATTATGTTGCAATTGTAAAAATTGATTCATAATATACTCAGCTTACTATTTCTGAAGGAAATTCACCTGCAAACATTTAGCTTTACTTAAAGGCAAAGGCTCTTGAAACTTGTCTGACACAATAATGTTTAGTTCTCCCCTTCCTTCGTCTAACTTCTCCATCATGTCCGTCATTACTTGTAGATGCTCTTTCCAGAGCTGATCGAATTTCTGCCTCAACAAATCTTTGGCATACTTCATTCGTAAAAACTTTATACATAAATTATACGTCGTCTGAACTTTCTCGTTTAATTCCTCCCTGAGAGTCTTGTTCTCCTCTTCCAGTGAATTTCGCGCCCTTTCAAGTTCCGTCCTTTCTTGTTGCAACCTCGACGTCCCACTAACCGATCTCGTCTTCTGCCGCTGTAATTCATCGTTGAAATAATCCTTTTCTCTTTGGTAAAAAAACCTTTCGTCGTCCAACTGCTCTAAAATTAGTTCGGTAGACTTAAGGGTTACAATAAAATTATCAGAAAACTGTCTGCAAGCCTTACGTTTGATATTCCTGACGGATCTCTGTTGCTTTTTCAAGTCGGCCGATAATCGTTCGTTATCTCGTTTCATATTTTGCAGCTGCATATCCTTCAGTTTTATAGTGTTTTCTAAGGACACAATCGTTTCTTTCAGATTCGTTACCTTTTAAAAAAGAATTAAGATTCGATAATTATATATAGAGAAAGAAACAATAAAATATTCTACCTGCTGGCGCAAATCCACTAGTTCTTCATTGGTAATTTGACATTCTGCATGCGTACAAAAAATCGTCACGTCTGTACATTTACTCAAACTACTTTTTGAACTAGTATTCTGCATATCATAATAGCGATTACGTTCTAGTGACGAGGAGTCTGAAGATTAATTACTCAATTTTCTTAAATATACTATCATATTTGTAATTCTAGTAACACGGAATAGCTTACCTTAATTTAGAAATAAGATTGAAGTATCAAATTTACAAATTTGTTAGGTTGTGTTTATTTGCAGACAGATTCAGGATCTTTATTGCAAGGTACATACATACAAGGCATGTACTTTTTATAATCTGAAAATCATTGTCATGTTCCATATCAGTACTTCGAGAATCGTACAAACGGCCAATTTCTTCTGATCACATAATGACGAATGATTATTTTCATTGAATTATCAGTAGTGCGCAATTACGTTAACAAAAAAGAAGCGCCTATGTTACCAAATTCTTTCAACCTACATTGACCTACATGCAATATCTTAATATCAATCCATTATTTCACGAAACGGTGGGGGAAACTAGAAGAAAAATTACATCGTGCAATACTGATTAAAAGTTGTGAAATTTTTTATTGTATCGTATATGTACAAAATAGGTGTACAGACTACTTATCAATCGTACGGGCGCGTTTTATACACGCTTCACATATGCTTTTACCGCATATAACACTGATTTAAGAGCATCACATTGTGTAGTACACCTGTAACCCCCTCTTCTGTAATCTTTCATCAAATGGAATGAATGTCGAGATGACACGTAAATGTTTCTTTCTTTTCTTTTAATTCTGACCTTATCATTTTTCCCCTCTTTACAGTCGTTAATAACATTCTGGTGTAAGGGTTTTTGTGACTATTACCCTTTCCCCCATCTTGTACACACGAAAATAATAAATTACACTGGAACGTTGTCTTCGCAATTGTTGTTACATTTTCTCTTGTTGTAAAGGGCATAGTAATTCGTTTTCTGAATCGCGTTTACATGACTACATTAGAATTTAAGTGTACCTTCGCACATCACTGGAAGTGTCGCTGTGTGAACACGGCATTGAAGAAGACGGAAAAGGAAACAATATTGTTACACCTCACTGTGTGTCCATTCGCGCTTTCCACTGATTTTATTAACAACTGGACCAAATGTTATTCTTCCTTACATAGTTATGTTCTTTCGATATTTTACAGACATATCTCTTCCTTTGAAACATCTTTTTTTGTTTATTCCATTGCAACAAGCTGGAACAAGCTACTATGTGCGATCAGCTCTCAGAAGAATGCCCCCCGAACTTCCAACTCCATAAAATTTTGTCAAAAAAATAATTTTTGATTCACATTGCGTAATACCCCATAGAGTTTGTCTAATACTTTTTTCAAGGCCATTCTTCTAAGGCATGTCAAGAGATGTTTGATTAAACAGGGTCTTGTAGACTAAAAACAGTGATAGAGTTAAAACAGATACGAATTTCTTTCTTGATAAAAGTTATGTTACTACTCAATTAAAATGTAGTGTCCATAGACCAATCAAACGTGATCGTATTTCGATCAAGCTATGTGATGTAAGAATTCTTATAGCTTTTTATTGGTCCAGTTGTGTCGTAGAAACGTGGAAGGCAACGCTTTCGTCTGATAATCTGATGAAACGATACTAGATTCGCATAAATGCGGATGATAATGATGGACTTACGCTTATTATCCTAACTTAAAAGTTTGTTGTATTTCCGTAATATTAAGGCTCGTGCTTATTTTTTCTTGTTCTTATTAGCTTGATTTTTGTATTTGGCTGCAGTTGTTAATTTGGCAACCTTCTTCTTGGGTTCATCTTCGTCATCTTCTTCGTCTTCTGGCTCCTAATATATTGAAATCAGAAAGATAATGTAGGTTTGCAGAAACTAATTATTAATCAATTGTGCAGAAACAATTTTACAAGTAAAACTGTGACTTAAGAAGTAGGATATTTTCGTTTTTGAAAATAAAAGATTGTATTACTGACATCCTGAAGTATTTCTTTCTATGGAGTAATTTAAACATGAAAATGGAAAAAGAGGAACCAAGATGAATAAAGAATAAAAGCAAGTGTTTGAAAATGGGATGATTTATTATGCAAAAAGGAAATAAAACAGACACATGGAATGAGAACACAAACGCAGAAAGTATATCCACGACTCTTATTTATTCCTTAGACAATCTTCTGAGCCCTCCCTCCCCCGAATCATAATGTTAAAGTAACGCACTTCAAAATATTCTTGATAAAATTCAGATTTTTTTGGAGGATGTTTGTATAGCAGCATTCTAATATTAGCATTCTATTTGTCTACAGCTTCATCCATCCTAGCACGTTTGGTGCCATTTTTTTTACCCTCTGCAGAATGCTTTCTTTTCTTATGTGGTGCCTGAAATTCGTATTCCTAGTATGTAGAAAATGATATACTATTGCTTCTGACAACATACACAATAAAAGTATAATAAGAACTATTAATTGTAAATGTTCGCATGTCTGTACACGTTTGGATATAATTTTCATTGAAAATATTCTGCATTTCTACATCTCAAATCTTATGATTTTCATATAACTTATTCAGAATGTCAGTTACAAATACAATCTTTTTGGTACTAGCAAATTTTAAAAGAACTTTTAATATGTACATGTATCAAATTTCATGCATCTCTTTAATTAAATTCTTGTCATTATATAGTAAGTAGTATATACCTTGTCATCATCATCATCTTCAATGTTCTCCTCCTCCATTTCATCATCCATATCATCAAACTCTTCCATATGTGTACCTAAAAAAATAATGTTGGCACGATATTAATTTATTTTCAATTTGAAAATATTTAAGTTCCTCAAATCAAATATCAAAATGATACTAACAAACTATGAAAGTCTCTATAACAGTATGTTGCTTTTTAAATTAAACATGAATTAAAATCCTCCTATTTTTACAAAAAATGCTCTACAAGTGTGATCTTCTGGTAACTGGCATTCAAAATTATGAAGGTTTGTGGTGACTTTAAATAAAAGGCGCCCAGTTATAATTATCGCCCTTCCGAATGACTTGTCATTCAAATGCAACAAAGTAATCAATTTAAAGAAACAGCTTTATATAGAAAATACCCTAACATGCTTCACATTCATTATAGCATAATGAAAACCATTGCATGTAGTTTTTGTTATTCATTAGAATTTAATGTAACAGTAACATATATGTACTATATAAATCCTTACCAAGAAGATTATGTCCTACTATGTGAACAGGGCCACTGCCTTTAACCAAAGTGAATGTGACTGGAGGGTCAGGAAAACTGAGATCTAGAATAATCTGTGCTGTTTTTCCCATTTCCAACAGAGCAATTGGTGTTTTAATCGGTCCCTTCAGTCCCATTGCTTCAACCTGTAGTACATTGAGTTCTCCGGGTTTAGCCTCTGGTCCTAAAAGTGCCTATAAAAAAGAAGAGAAAGAATGTTCTATTCCTTCAGTAACTCATGGGGAACAATTAGCATGTTACGAAAGTACCAATGAATTTCTTTAAAGATGTGAATATTTATGTTTTAAGTAAGTATAAAGTATCTTAAAATCAAGTAACTGAAAGCAAACTATCAACTGAAACATATTTAATTTACATACGATTATAAACGTTGTACTATTCACATATACTTAGAGATCATATTCATACACAAATACATCGAAATTTTTAATCAATGGACGTATTTCCAATGCATTCCATGATGAAAACGTAACATCACAAATTTCTATACATATATGTTCTCGTTTCTGGAAAATTCGACGAATAAAGTGGGGTTAACTACGCTCGTGGAGCCGAAAAAGTAAAGGTTATAATAGTGTCCAATTTGTCGGTTTACTATCGCAGTTAAAAGTTCGCGCGCAAACATAACGATAGGTAATGAAAGCACTAAAAAAAATCGGGATTACCAGCGACGCCAAATATTGGTCATCTATTCGTACACAATTAATAGGACTGCTCGCAGAGTAATGGAGTGCTGATCGTTAAAATCAGAGAATGGTAGGATGAGCTAAATCGAACGTCTACATCACGGATCGAGAATGAAAACTACTGCCGACGAAATCGCGCGTCAATGAGTATCTGCCGCTTATAACGGTAAAGTGCCTAAAGTCTGAACAATATACACATGCGGCGCGTCGAATAGCGTCAGTGTACAATGCAGTTTCTGAATATTCGATACATTTCATAAATACCTTCGACTTACCATTTTTATAATAAGCTTCTGATCGGCCCCAAAATGTTGGTTCGTGCCGTCTGCGTCGTCGTTCTTGTGCTCTGGATCCCATACCTCGCTGGAGTTGGCTCCTTCGAGAGTGATTCCTGGACACACAAATCACAAGAGTACGCACACGGAATATCGTAAATGCTTGCCGATACGATCTACTTAGGGAAACAGCCGGCGTCCCGACTGTAATACCGCTCGTGTTGAACGATCAACAACGTCGAAAGTATCTGCGTGCGGCACAAAATAATCCTGCCACGATGCTCACGATATCACGGTTTCTGATATTTACCGTAAAGATATTCCTCTGCCATGACGATCGGTCTGATATTAAAAGATTCCCGTTAGTGGACTTGTAGAGGGACCCCGTTGTAGAGTGCGTGCCGAACGAGAGTGGAGAAGCTAAAGACGCCGCGCGCACAACGGTCACTGCGCGAGAACAGTGGTCGCACGTGTTAGACGAACGCGTAGCAAATGATTTTCGCGTACTCGGCCTTGCGCGCCTAGAATACGTTCTTCGGTTTGATTGGTCGATGCACTTTCGACTAGCGTATGCGATGTTGCCAATCCTATCATTAAATAACACTGAGGGCTTTACTCGGGGGTGTTTTTTACCCCTTCCGGTGATGTCGGTTACAAAGAATGAATATGTATATAATTCCATACTTCCAAACTGTTCCAAACTACAATCTTATAAATTGTAAACAATAATCACGGATCGAGATTATTTACATCGATCATTTTACATCTGAATGGAGAATCTATATCGTGAAACATACACGTATATATTAATATATTAATCGATTCAGTAACTATATATATAATATTATGATTGCGGAGAATCTTTTAGACGGCGATATATCTTGTAAAAACAATATTAATTTTCACATTACTTTTTTATGTTTGAAATGGAGAAATATATGCTTAAAAAATTACGACCTAAAATATATATTTTTGTGAAACAATACGTACTGTAAATGTTAAATGCTTTATCTAACTAAATGTTGAATAATTTATCTGTACATTTATAATTTTTCAATGATATAAGTTTACAGTTAGTTCTTTCATACAATGTATGAGTACTTAATTATTACATATTTAAATGAGTGTTTAATGAATAATGATACAATTTAAATAAAACATTTGGCAACGTTGTGTTAAGCGTTCATTGGTCTGGAGAAACCCTAGCGGTGATATCATGAAACAATCATCGACACATTGACTGCATAAATATCGGGCGCAACACGTGAATATTACTTAAATTGAACAAAAGCGCGATGAAAGAGTATTGTAGAAAAATCAAGGATTCGTTACGGTACGGCTGATGCAATTTCTGTAAAGAATTCAAACGATTTGACGAAAAATAGTCATTAGCGTATCTCGTGATAAGATATAGCCCTTGGCCAGCGACAGGAACTCGTCAGAATGCGACTCCTAATTATTCTAACTTGTTTATATTTGTCGCCGGTAATTCTCGGCAATGATGAAAAAAACGAGACAACATTTGTGGCGACCCACGAATGGCAAGTCGTCAAAAAAGGTGAGTATACATTCATCCAATACTCTGGTGTTTGTATGTTTTGGGACTACTTTTTTACGCAACTGATCGTGCTCTTCCTAAGACCACGTCAGTCAAATTTGACGTCGCGCGTTACTTTAAGAAAACCGATTATTGTTATGCTTAGTCATTCGAATGCAACACGACTGTTTGAATTAAAAAAGTTTCTCGAACGTTTTTTAATTTTCTGTTTACTGAAATATACCGAATATATTAAAACACGATGTATCGGAAATTGCATAGAACAGTGACGTATATAGAACATTACTTAAAGGGCACTAATGAATTCGTCTATAATATAATGTTGTAATTTAATAAGATGATTTTCTTTTATGAAAAATTTAATTTACATTATTGTACTAGCTTTATGTTTCATCTTTTACCAGGAACACCTATTCCTAAGGGATTACATGTGCGGCACAACTTTCAAACTGGGGTAACAGAAGCCAAATTAATAGACAATGAAGATATAGAAGAAAAAGAATCCAGCGAAAAATCTCATTCAAATTCTTTGGCATTGCATCCTGAGAAGACGATACCTGAAGATCTAGATCCTCCAGTCTTTTCAGAAAAATCAAACTTGTTTGACTATCCATTAGAAGAATTAAAAGCTAGATTGAAGAAGATTAAACAAGATGAACCAGAGTCACCTCCAGAATTAAGTGTAAATTTAAGTGATTAATTGTCTTCTATCATTGTGGATATATAATATATAAAAAATATTTTATTTTGTTTGTATTTTAGGATGAACATGCCAAAAAAGTAAAACAAAAGTTTCGGGACTATGAAACTTTGAAGAAAGAGCTGAAAGCTCTGGAAATCAATATTACAACTGATTCAGAATTACTGGGTAATTACTTTCAGAAGTTTCAGAATCACAAAAATGCCATTACCATGGGTACTTTGATGCCTTTAGAAGTAGAAGAAGTCTTGGATATCCTTTATAATTTGGAATATTTGCTTCACCACATTGATAACGCCAAAGTATTTACAGATATGCAAGGGTATGTATAAAAACAATTTCTTCTTTATTGGAAAGTCATTACTGGAAGAACATCTAGCTATTTTGTTTTAACCGTAGTATGGTGAAAATCATATCTCCATGTCTCAATGGAACGAACAATGAAATAAAGGCAGAAGCATTGCGACTTTTGGGTACTGCAGTACAATCAAATCCTAAAGTCCAACTGAAAGCATTGGAAAATGATTTTGTTCAAAAACTTCTGCATATATTGTCTACAAATACTCAGATAGAAGTGAGGAGCAGGTGTCTCTTTGCTCTTAGCGCCTTAATTAGACAATTTCCAGCAGCTCAGAAAGTTTGGATCAATCATGGTGGACTGGAAATATTTGGAAAGATTTTAGTCCATGATCAGTTACAAATACAAATGAAAGTCATGAAACTCATCAGTGATTTAATTATTGAAAGGCAAGACTTACAAGAAGTTGCTAACACTGAACAATCTCAATTGAAAACAAAGGCATATTTAAGTGTAGATCTAGAGCAAAAAATATTAACAAACGAGTACTGCAAACATTTAGGTAATTTAATGACAAAAAGTTTCAAAGATGAAATCGGTAATCAGTTTAAAGCAAGTAACTACGAATTCCTTGAAACCATTTCCGAAAGTATGATCACTATTTTTCCTGTTTGTAAATACGAATTTAAAAGTAGCGAAGATTCACTTCTACACACGATACAGCATTTGCTGAGTTTTTATCAGAATTTGAATACCAATTTAGAACAAAATGATAACGACATTTTGAAGAATCTTACCTTGTTAATTCAAAAACTTCAAGCCCCTCATGACGAATTATGAAGCAGAAAAATTCAGTGGAATTAAAACAATTGCAAGGAAGTAGCTCCAGTATGTTAATTTAAATTGTGAAGTTACAATATACAAAGTTTTATATACAATGAAAACCTTCCTTGCATGGATACAAAAAATATCCGTTGTTGATGTTCCATAAAAATTGTTACTAAATCTACATTTCATATTGTTATCCTTTCGAAAATTATTGAAACGTCTTACGGTCATAATGTTTACGGAGACGGTACTCAGTCACTTGTAAATAGGTTGCTGCAAAGTATAACAGACTTTTGTAAGGAATGCATGATGTGCACGATGTACCATAAAACGAGTGTATGTGAATTGAAGCGTAATTTTTGTACATATGTAACATGTAAGGTGTATTTGATACACCAATTTGTAATGAAATAGCAAATAATTGTTGTGTTTCTTGTGTTCTGAAGCGTGATTATTTAATAAATTATTTTGTACTGTTCACGAGTTTACTTTTCTCAATTTATCCTAAAATCTAAAAAGCAACAAGACATAGGCCATACATTACAGAATAACATACTTTATTTACAAATCATAGTGATTACATATGAACAATCTGTTCGTTTAGTCATAGTTCATAGAAAATATGTCGCTGACAGAACAGCTTTGCAAGATTAGGATTTGTATATACATGTGATTGAAAAAAAATTTGCTCATGTAATTACCAAGTGTTTCTTTTTTAGTAGAGGAAGAATACCTTGTTTTCCTTTAAGTACAAGAATTGCGTTTATTTTTGTGCGACATTAGAAAACATGCACTTTTTAAACGATACATGAGCCAATAGGATAAACAAAATGGATTTCTCGCGTCTAATAAACTAAAGCACAACCTTACAACGATTCTAGAATTCATAAATTTTACATGACCTCTTTAAAGTTTTATTAAATACTGCAAATCTATATCTATATACCAATATTATAGACTGTTTGTGAAATGTTTTTGCCAATCGTTTCTTTTTTAACCTGCTGTATAAATTTCTTTCTTTTTCTTTTACATTCTGTAGTAATCTCCTTTTCTGTTGCAACTACGGCAAAACGAATAAGTTTTATAACGTTATTTACAATAACCTTCTAGGAACTTAAAACATATTTTTCGGGGCACGCACGTCGAATATACAAATTCTTGTACGAATTTTTAACTTTTTTCTTTCTTTATACAGTAAACAAGGAAGCATAAACATTATGTACAGGATAGTTAATTTCACAACGCGATAGTCATACGTCAAGTACTAGTTCCGTGCGTGTAACTCCCATGTCACGAAAACTTTAAGTGCGTCGGTAATCTCAGAGATGGAATGATGTTTCTTATGGCAAACTTGTTTGACCGATACTTCACAAAAGAACATACGTACATTCGTGTGTATAAACTATGTCAAGTTTTTAACAATCACTCTAAAAGTATTAATGTAAATTGATAATCCTGGACTGCCAGTAATACAACTTCCTCAATAAACGATCGAAAAATATAAAAGTAACTCGCACAATTACTCCTTTCCAATTTTTTTTCTCTCCTTTTTTTTTTGTTATTTTCTGGTCTTTCATTTTATTCTCAAAGAAATGTGAACAGTCTATCGAAAAAAAGAAGAAAGATCGAATATCGAAAGCACACAGTATATCGGAGTAAAAATAAAATAATTGTTCAACATGATCACAGTGAAACTCAATATCAACAGGAAATAGAGTGAAAAAATAACAATAGTGTATATTATATTCTTGAACTGAAACAACGGCGAACTCCTATTCCAAATTAAGTATTCAGTACACAAATATACGTAATTTAGTTATACATTTGATCAGTTCTTAACCATTGTTCCTCATTTCTCCGCTGTCACTAGACGTAGACTCATCTCTATTGAGCAACCAGTATTACAAGGAATAACGTTCTTATATGGCATATGGCAACTCGAACTACCGTTCTGACACGTACCGAGTACTAGCATACAAAAAAACGAACTAATTTCAGTATGCGCAAAACAGTGTATATCGATCGCTAAACTCAACGGTATTTAAAAAAAAAAAAAGAAAGAAAACGGAATCCTTCTAGTCGCAAAGGATCGTCAGAACAGCCATCAGGACGATACCCAAAAGTAGCGCAGCAAGTTGCTTCAACGATTCTTTGGGATTAGATTCTTTAAGCAGTTCAGGCAAGATGGTGACCATGCCAATATGAAGGAAACCACCCGCCGTGAATGGTAATATCCAACTTGTTTTCACTCCTAAAAAAAAAATAATCATCGTTAATGTAATGTATCACAAATCATGCATGTGTTACCTGAGCATCCAGTTGAAATAACTATACAATAAACACATGGGCCAGCACAAAACAGAACGTACCTACTTCACCGCCAGAAAAGAACACCGCCGACATGGCGCCAAAAATGCCACCGCTAGCAGTGATAAGCTGCGCCCGCGCTGCATCCCAACGGGTGAATCCACTGCGTAGCAGTATAGCGAAATCCCCAACCTCGTGTGGTATCTCGTGTATGAGGATAGCGAATGTGGTAAGCATTCCCAAACGGAGGGAGACGAGGAATGAACCACCCACCGCGAGACCGTGAGTGAAGTTGTCGATGATGTTGGCCATCAGGTTCAGGTAGCCAGTTATATGTTTCGATTTTTCTTTCTTAACAGTCTTTTTAATGCTAACAGCATCAGCCACGAGCAATTTCTTCTCTTCGGAGCAGCCACCCTTCGACCGTTCAGAAGAGAAGCCGTTGATCTGTGTCAGCTTCTTCAGGCAATTCTTCGCCTCGTCTATCGAGAGGCCTCCCAGTGTATTGGAGAACTCATTGCACATCAGTACCGGTTTGATACCGTTGCCGACGAAACCGTTTTTCTTGTGGGAATTCTTGTACCCGTTCTGTAGGTGGGAGTAGCCGTTTTTATTCTCCAAAAATGGCTGGATCTGTAGGAAAAATGTTCATTGTACTTCCAAACAGACAAAAGTGATTGAAAAAAAGGCTTCTTAGCAGCAGTTTTCATTACCTCGTCGATAGATTTTTGGTAGTCCGTCTTAGCGTACCGCTTCGAAATCTCGTTTTTCGGGTCGCCGTTGATCAGCGTAATACAATTATTGTTCTCCATTTCTTTCTCCGCTTGTATACCGCCATTGCAACGTGGTTCTTCTTTCTTCGACATCACGGATTCATCGTCAATTTCGGTTTCCTGTTCGAAGTTGAACAATTTCTCCGCTATGACGAATATCAGAAAACCACTGAGCACCCAGAGGCCGCAGGCTATCGACGGATGACCAGCATCTTTTGCTGAAACAGAAAGGATTTCGTTTAATTCCAACGACATTACGTTTGTTTCCTAATTCGCAACGTTCCAATGGATTTTAAAGCTATCCATGAGAGAGGGGAACGAATTATTCGACCGCGAGAGGAGGGTAACTCGAAAATCGTAGGTGGACGACCTGGTCCGAGTCGGTTTAATTCAGGAGAGGACAGCTGGCAATTGAAATCCGCAACTGAAGCACAATAGCGGTTTCTGACCGTTGCTTAAATCGTTCACAAAGCGGACGACCGACCGTCTGTGGATCAACTCCTCGCTTAGCTTATGGTAAAGATAGATCTAATACGATGAATTGCCGTGTTGCTTAAACGGCGAACAATCTAGATCCACGGGACTTCGATTGGAAAGCAATTCGATCGCCGTGTGCTGTCTGACTGAGAAAAATGATTACGCGTTGCTACTATATCCGCCGAAAGTAAGGGTAGATAGATACAGTTCAAAGCTATTAAAACGATTAGAAAACAGCCTCGTCTTGGTCGCGGTGTGAAATGCATATTGCATGGTCAAACGATTCAGAGAAGTCATGTGCGCGCTGGACAGATAGAATTGCGTTAATCGGTCCACGGTCTATGCAACCTCTGAACCTCCTCTTCTTTTATTGTTTTTTCAACGCTCAGTTTCCTCTTGGTGGCGAAGATCAATAAACAATCGTTCGAGGCTACAGTTACCCTGTGACGTCCATATCCTTGTGTACCACACTTCGCGATCTATTGTTATATAATTTGTAACCAGTAGATAAACAGATAAGCGTAGCTTATGTACTAGTGTTTGCAAGACTGAATATTTTGACTCTTCATTAGGTGTTCAATAAACTGTTTTTAATATAGAAAGTCTGTTACATCAATCAATAAAAACACTTGGACTGACTTTTCAGAAAGAATTCCACCCCCATTAATCATCCCCAAAGTTCAAAAGGAGGACGGACATGAACACACAGGATATCCTTCGAAGTTCGTTCACGCAGTGACTGGTTCATACGTTATCGTTCGTGACTCATGGTCCCAATGAATCGTGGAACGCCGCTGTTGCCATTTTGTGTCACGATATTGCCGGCAAGGCCGAGACAGCCAGCTATTAGCACATGACCGTTTAAATGGGATCTATTAGATGCTTCTTTACATTTGCATCAATGAAACTTTTTTTCCCGGATGTAAAATCCGTCGCCCTTCTATCAACGAAGAACCTTCTCTCACCTGTTTGAAACGTGCTGTTACCCCATGCTTCCGGCAGCAGATGCAGGAAAACGTCACCGAGAAGGCCGCCGACCGCGAAACTCAACAGTATTTTCAGCGTACCAGCGCTGTCTGAAACAGAAATACACATAGAACCTATTACAACGGATCGGTGGATGTTACATAATACAGGGGGAAATTGGGTAACCAGGATTTGCATTGTCGAGTCAAATGGATTAACGAAAGTAAAAGTTAGACATCCTTAGAGACCCCTTCAGAATCACCAGACTGTAGCAGTTCTTTAATGTAAGAATCATTCTGAGGCAAGGGTATCGAGAACCACTTACCTTGAGGATTCATTCAAAATCTCTTTTAAGTCAAATTATCAATAGAAAAACCTATTTTCGATTGCCTAGATTAAAAACTGGGAATAAAAGACGTATCAGAGAAGCACTAAACCTAAAGTACCCGATGAACTGTCCAACTTTTCTCGGGAGAGAATAGAACAAGGATTCGATGCCGAAGTTATCGGGTGAATACGATTTTAAAAAGGTCAAGGATGTGGGTGGCGAACGCATTGAACGAGTTACTAATCGGTTCAGGCGAGAATTTCATCGAAAATTCCTGTTTCCCAGGTCTCGTCCCACGCGGACTCTTACGCACGGTCCGGGGACGATAACAAAAAAATTCGAGGCGATAGATTTCTCCCCGCATGCCGATAAATTTCGTGCGCGACAGCGAACAATTTCACTGTCGGTCGATTTCTTTGCCGAGAGGCCAGGGGGATCACCGACCACGTTAAAGTACGATCAAGTCGGTCCCGATATCTTTGGCTCGCACTCGAGTCGTATTTCATTCAGAGTGGCTTACGGCCGGAAAAACGCGTTTCTGCTTTTCCGGATGATCGGTGGTCGTTTGACGGATCGATATTACATTACGATTAAATCGGAACATTAATTTTCCAGGGTCGATCTCGTGCACAAGTCGAAAAGTTCCGAAAGATCTGTGAGATCGCGTGAACATTCTGACAGGGATAAAGGGTGCAATTCTGGGTGATTACCTTGATACAAGTTCTACGAATATATCTCCGCTTCGCTTTTAAGAGACTGCAGAAGTTCTTGTGAAGAAATATGCTCTATTGGGCTGTAATTTCTTATTGTGTAGGGTCCACGGAAAAGTTATCGATACGTTCTGTACGATCATCTGGACTAGATTTTATCTAGCTGCGCCACAAATCAGTGCGCGACAAGCAGCTTACAGCTTAAAGTCTGATGATTACTCCGATCGTTGTGTTTCAAGTTACGTAAACTTTCCGTTATCGTTAAAAATGAACGGAGCGTGATTATTTCGCTGCGATCCTTCGAGATCGTGAATCACAAGATTGTTCTTGGATATTAAATGTTCAGAGAACTTTTGTGAATGACCGATGTTTCGGTCATCGATACGCTGATCTTTTTTTTTACAAGTGAACATAAGAAGCGAATGATCGAAAAACATCATTTTTATGGAAAATTAAATCGAGGAACGATGCCGCTGCTGAGGACGAGATAGTTACTTCACAGTTCACAGACCTTGTTCCACTTTTTACGGAATTGATTATTAAGTGGACGATATTAACAAGTTTATGACATCTGACATTCTCCGATTTACTTGACTGTTCTACAGACCGATGGTGCAATCTGGGATGATATTTTATTCCATCGAGTTTCCATCAATATTTCAATTTAATAAATTTTACTTCTGTAAATTACTAAACTTTTTCCCTATTACCTAACTATGAACTATTATTTCTGCAGCACTGAGAAAGAAATGTTTTTGTATATTTTCTTTAAAAAAATATAGTGCATTGGAATACCTTTCTTTCGACACATTTGCATACAAAACGATTGGAGTCTAGTGGAAATCTAGTGGAGTCTATAGGAAACTAGTGGATTAATCTATTTATTCACTTGTTCGTCGAATGCAAGGAGATCGAGGACAATTTCTGAAGAACGTGAAATAATTGCCTAGTGATCGTCATCCAAGCGAATCAACGGACACTTAATTATTATGTTTATACGCGCACACCATAAACGTCTAGTTATTATGGTAATTACTTGCTCTGATAAATATCCATTTGCTTCCATCCGTTCAATAGTCCCGTGAAGGCGATCCCGGCGCAACGACCTATCGCGACTCGCGAGAAGAAACCTATTTCTTCGCTTCCAGAACAATATTTACGACACAAAAAAACCGTCGACACTCAAGGTTTTCCTTGTTCTGCCGACGATTAATCATCCACCAGATAGTTATGGAAAGCAAATCACGAGATACTCGCGATCGTCACCGCGTAAATATTCAAGAAAATTGAAATAAATAGAACTCGTCCGTCAGTTGAGTTCCTCATGGGAGCCGTTTAAGCTGTTTCTGTTCGTTGAAACGAACATTTCAGCGAAAAAAAAGAATGATTTTCTAATTAGTTATCTCCGTGTTCTCTTGTAAACGCTGCAATTGCATTTGTCATTATCGAATATATTCATCCTTTGAAATATATTTGTTTCTATTACCACTGTTTTAAACGTAACGGGAAAACATGGTCGTTCCACGTACGACGATGTTATTTAATCGGTAATAACCGATAAATGCCATAACACAAACGAATTTATCTGGAAACATAACCGGGTCAAGGGTTAATAAAAGCGGCGACACAATTCAACTTGAGTGTCCGAACAGTAAATTAATTCGTCTTTGCTGTATTTTCTCCCATTGGCGAACTTTGCATCGCCGAGAGCTCGCGATCCGTACGTCAGATCAATAAATCTCGTATCCTTCTGAAACCAATGTCAAGCGCGCTCCAGACACGTCCAAAGTATTTTCGGAATAGATAAATTCATCCACGGATAATATTGCATTAGCAAAGAAAGCTAGACGCGTGTATGGGATCGTACGTACTTTCCAGATCATCGTTCATGATGTAACGTGAATATGGAAATGATTCCTGCACAGATTGCAAACGCGTCCTGTGACGCCTCCGGGAACGGACAATAAGTCGTTAGCAATAAAATTAACGATGACAGATCGGCGATAAGCGTTCGCTGCAACGGGAAATCCATTTCCCTCCAGTTTCGTTTACAATCGCGATCGACCGTAACGTATCCCGGTTGCGCAAAACTTTTTCGCATATTACGAAAGTCATGCATCGTTAAATACTTGCCTGATAACGAAACGGAAATTATTTACGGTCAAACGTGTAAATTTTATTAATACATTTCGATCTCTGATTTTGGATCACGCAACCACTGAGAATCGTAATTCGGATGCACCGCGAGGGAAGAGTCACTTGTAAACAACCGGTTGGAGGAAAAAGAGCGTGTTTCCCGACGCATGAACAATGATAAATCTGTGTTATTATCGTGAACTGGCTTCCAAGCTGCAGAACACGATGATAAGTGAGCGAGCATCGTTAACAGCCGCCACGTTCCGCCGTTGAATTTTCGTTTCCGTGTCATATACATCGCCCAGTTTTCTTAGGAATCAGCGCGTGCCTGCCTACTTTGCTATTCCTCGAACTATTTACGGGATCGCTCTTTGTTTCCTGGTTTTTTTATCCACCGTACTTTCATGATGAAACATCGTGACACTATTGCAAGAAATGATATCTTGGAATCGAGTCTGTAATTGAACGTGATTAACATGGCTGCATAGATCAACGTTGTGTATCGAGAATATTCAGTTTCTGCATGAGAATAACTCGGAATTGCAGATGCTTAGAGTTCTTAGAAACATTAGAAAATAACAATTTTGGCTAGGTTGCAGAGTGCTTCTTCGTTTCAGAAGAGCATCCGCCAGTTATATTACAATCTTTTTCGAGCGTTATTGTACAATGCATAAGAGATCAATGTCCATTGTTAATCGGTAGCTTGCATAAACTTTGACATGTCTTGGACGTTCAGTGGTATCGAAGATAATATTATCGTAAGGTAAAATAAACACGCGCTAGTGAACGTTTATAAGTGGACGAAATTACGCAGAAACGTATTCTTTTATCTCGACGGGAATACCGGCTGTTGCAAGAAAAAAAAAAAACGATGACTCGCATAAAAAAGCAGCAAAATGTTTTCTAGCACGAACGTGTGATCTGTACAATGTTATCAACAACTCTGATACAGTTTCGATGGCCATTGTTTCATTTATTTTTAATTGTTCTTTATCGCGGACGTCATATCAGGTAGTTGCGCAAGATTGTCGATGGGCTGATTAATTTTTCGAAACGCAAAAACATATTTCTCTGCCACGATCGAAAGAAACGTAGACGTATAAGCAGAAAAAGTATCGGTGAAATTACGAATACAACTACAGTTTCTACGCCCTCGTTACAAGATGGCAGCTGCCATTGTTCTTCGTGGGCGGCAAACGATGAATCCGCTCGCGAATCTATTTCGAGCATCGCGCTTACCAGTTTAATGGAAAGCAACTATCTCGCGATGCACACGCGTGAATTAGTTCGTTATCTAGTTATTTGCTGCAATATAACAATTGCCTAGAATTTTCTAAAAACGATCTACAAGTACCTGATAACTCGAAAGATTGCCATCACGATTACCCTTTTTCCCCGGTGCTCGTCCAAATCTTTACGCACTACACTTCTGAACCACTCGAAACGAAAAATTTCACGATAAGCATAAGTAACCTTCCACGATGGATTAAGATTACGTCATCATTAATTACGTTATCATTTAATAATGTTGAATAAAAAAACAAAATTCCCGGAATACCGTGCACGAGAAATTAGTTACGAAAAGGCCGCCGGGTTACCCGGTTCTAAAAGTAGAAAAAATCGATCGGGTGGCGCGTGTGTGTCCGAGTGCACTCGAAGAAACCGTTTAGATGCAGGTTTCGGAGGCAACTGGCGCGACCTAAGGATCATAAATGACGAGGTGCTAAAAAGACCGAACACACGCAGTCGTAATGGAATCAAACGAAAACGAAATAGAGAATGCATCTCCGCGCGACGATGTTCGTGGGCGGGCATGCCGGGCTTCATAATAGATTCATTCCAGAACAGTCGTTGGCGTGATAGGCCAGCTGAACCCGTAATTTCATGCGCCGACTGCATCGTTTCCAGAATTTTTCCGGTCAAACCGTTTTCGCGGTTAAACGAGACCTTTGCACGACACAGTACATTTCTAAAAATAGTTTCCCAGAATCTGTTCACTCCGAGAGGAGAACCAAAATGTCTAAAAAGAGAAGCACGAAAGAACTGAAGCAGATGAATGAAAGAATTGATTGAATGGTATAAGGACGGACAAGCACTGAGCCTTAATCATAAGTAAGTTTACTCGAAGACTTATCGACAACTGAAACATAAAGTTTAGTATCACAAAAGCTACCATCCTAAAGGAACATTTGCAAATCTCTGTCTATTGACTAGGCCAATAATCTATCAGACTGATACTTCAAAACGAAATCTATCTCGTCGCGTGGTTACACTCATGGTACCAAAGTAGAACAAAAGAACGTAGTTCAGATAAAAGATCGAAGAGAAACTGGCATCGATATATGCAAACAACACGAGTGCAGGGCTTGTTGCATCGTGGCGGATAATCTTGCGTAATCTTGCATCACCGATATTGGGTATTTCGCAACGAAAACGGAACACTTTTTGGTTCCCCTGTTCTTCGTACGCGAGTGAAGCACGGACGAAGGCGAAAGAGAAGAGCGAAAAAGCCTGTTCTCGAAGAAGGTCGACGACCAACACAGGCGCCGCTACCTACTGTCGAAGAAGAATAAGCAAACGAATGATTCACATGGCCCCGTGGAGGGCTCTCGTTTGACTTGCAAAACCGAGGAGAAAAAATTAATGGAACGCGGTACAAACGAGAAAAGGGAATCGCTATTTGGAGAATTAAGGCGGTAGGTTTAAATCGGATCTAGACGGCTGCGCTTCGAACGCAATTTACCATTTAAATTGCCTCGTCCGATATCGATTGTACTTCCCAGACGTGAATTCCAGAACGCTAGACCCACGAAGATCACTGGGTTCTCTCTGAACACACTGTCGAATAACGGCTCATCCAGGGTACAAAACTGAAAATCGCCCTGAGCGTGTCGTTATGCGAACTTTCAACATAATAGGCGTATTGATTCGCTTGCGAGTTTTTCCGCTTCGACTCCAGGTGTAATCGTGTGAATCGGCCAGGTGAACCGTCTGCGCCCTTGGATGAAAATTTCGGAGCATTCCGCGGGTAGGGGATTCCACAGAATTCTTATAGGAATCCCGTCCGTTGGGATGTCCCGATAAAAGAAAGAAGGATGGGAGCTATTGTAAGATCCCAGGCCCTTCTCGCCCTTCTTGGTAGCGATCTATACTTCACACGCTTTCTGTCCTCGCCAGCTATCATCTTGCCGTAAGATCCGACACTGTCCCCTTTTCGTATGCATATCGCATTAATAAGAAGACTTATACATCGCTATATAATTCAGTGCAACATCTGCATGTTACAAGACAATTAACAGAACGATAAAAAGTTTCCATGTTTCGTGTAGTGTTCCATAATCCATTAACCACCCACTATTCGTGTTCTTGTGTATAAATGGTTACGAACAAGTTATTCCGCCAAACGTTTGATATCTTGCGACCGGACTTTATCTATTACTTTGTCTACAATGAATAATGCAAAATTATGCCGATGGTAAAATCTAGTAGCGTCGCGGAATGCAACGACGCCCTTGAATTCGCGAGTACCGTACAAAACGACATCACGAATATACGTGGTGGTATGTCCCACCCACGGAGCAACTGGGTTCGTTTCATTCGTATTCGCCATTGTGTCCAACAAGTTCCACGACCTTCGGCGTTCCGTATGTCGCGACGCACAGTATCGACACGCGTGAACTCGGTGGACTTTCATAGTTCCTCGAGCAATTATTTAGCTCGATGGAAAAGTTCCTAACGAGTGAGTGACGTCCGACAATTATTTGTCTTTTTCATTCTGCTGTGTACCGGATGTTGTGATCGATTGTTCCGTAAAATCGATTCTTAAAGTATAAATGAGCCTTTTCATGTTCCTTAACGTCCTCTGTCTCTTGCGCGGAATTTGACAACATAGAAGACAGATGTCCCGTATTTTACTTATCTCAAGATCAATGAAAAACAGAATCAGTTGTTATGTTGTGATCTGTTCCAAATGAGGTTACTTCAGGGCACCTTGTGTATATGTTTTACCGCATTCAAACCCAGATTCAAACAACCCATGCACAGAGAATTACATTTGCATTTTCGCCTGTTTCCACGAATTCCATTGTTGCGCCGCGTCCGTCGAGAACAAGTTCCACGACCTTGCTTACTCGCATTGGCGTGGAACGAGCATCAACGAGGACCGTAGAAAGCGTGCGTCGGACATGTTTTCAGAAATAAACGAGCGACAGAACGATGGAGGGGTAAACGGACGATGTGTAGTGAGGGTAACTTCTCATCAGTGGCCTTTAGGATCCAAGAGATCACGTTTTTACACGGGAATAATTCACTTTCTTGAAGAACATTGATCTTCACAATTAGATAATTAGACACTGCAATTACTCTTCCCTCTTCTCGGTACGATTGTTCTGAAACATCGATTAACTGTCCTGTATCTGTTTTAAGAAATTCTTCTTATCTATCTCATAGTCGAAAATAAAGATGAATAAGAAGTATATTGAATAGTATAAATACCCTACCTCGATTCAGAGTATTTCTCTACAGACAATAAGAATATGCTTACGGAGAAGAGGTTGGCAACAGTTTGCGACGCGGCCGAGCAATGTGCGCAGTAGAATCATTCTACGTGGCCGATTGCGTTTCTTGTTAAGCGGTCCCAAGATCCTATCTGACGTAATGTAACACATCATTATTTTTATTTGGATTTGCATCTGACTACCGTGGTACTTGAACAATCGGGAAACCTATATATAAAACGTTAAAAATGAAAAAAACATGAAAAGACAAGGAGACATGTACAGTGCGTATAACAAGGTGAGTAAAAATATGTCCTTTGGAAGAGATCGAACATGGTCCGAAAGTATTCGAAGAATGTTGTGAATACTAGTAACAACAATCGAAGAAGAAAGTCGCGCGAGTATTGCGATAATTCGAACCTTTTTCTTCTAGGAAAAAGGGACCGACACCATCGACCGCAGATTTCTAGTGAAATCGTGATCCACGATCGTATTCTATTGCGCAAGGTCCGCGTTGAGAATTAGTGTTGAACTACTATAGCGTTCTAACTCAACGTCGAGACGGTTTAACTTGGAATTTTATTATAAATATTACGCAATTTTCAAAATACACACGAGAATTGAAAATGTGTTTCGAATTCTTATTTTAAATCAGAGTTGGTCCTCATTAAAGAGATTAGCACTCCTATTGTGACTGCGTAATGAATACGTGGGTAATAGAAGCTTCAAAAAAAGGGGAAAAAGGGGTAACAGCAAGTGAGTGTGTAACAACAACCAATACGCTGTATTCAAATGGTGAAAAAATGCATTCGGACATCTTTCAAATAATAAAAATGTAAGTGAACACATACGATATGCACGAAGAAAAAGTAAAACTAAAGAATCGCGAAACGTACGTTGTTGGTCAATGTCATTATCGATTAATGTCGTTGTCGGTCAAACCCGGTGTCGATGAATTGTTGAATAATAACAATAAGCTAATAAATATTTCTGTCATATTGCCGGTTTGTTATAGCAGTATCATACTATATTAGAATTGTAGGATTTAGAATCGTTCAAGAAAAATGAGAAAAGAGACTTTTAGTAACGCAAGACCTTAGAACTAGAAAATTATAGTGCCACTTCTCTTGACAATATTTACATCGATAACCTCGTGTTTCAGGTGACTTTCTACGCAGAATTTTGACGACCTCAGTAATAATTCATAGAGAAGTTGAAATAGGTAATAGGTTTTCGACTGTTAGAAAAACTTGACCGTCCTCGACGAGTGTAACTATTTGTACAAAAGATGAACTGAATCTTATCACTCTCTTATCGCGAAGAAATACATTCTCATGTGATTACTATTCCAAAAGAATATTGATATCTTTTGACTCAAATATACAATTCCATTCAAACGATAGACCTTCCATTTTGTTAAAATAATTTTTCACTGTAAGTTAAAGATTTAAAAATTGAAGCGAGAGAATGTAGGTCTGTTAAAGGTAAACACGCCATAATCGTGACACAACAAATCATTTGATTGGTTCACCTGTACTAACCTATTGCGAACAATTTCCCGCGTGCGCGATAGAACGTACACAGAACCTTCCCCTCGCCAAAGCATCAGAATCCCACGCAGCTATAAACACCATATGATTCCGCTCGAATCATGTAGGTTCACGCTGACAGTTGACAAATACAAAACGATAGAAATACAGTCGTTAGGCGGCAATGTTTGTAAACAAATGTGTTACCTCCCCCTGTCTTCAAAGCGGCAGCTTCATCGATGTGGATGATGAATAGCGGGAAGATACCGGTCAGTCCGATCATGGTGCTTCCTAGCAGAGAAAACACCCATGGTGTGTACTCAAAATAATCCAACGCGGATTCCCAAGATCCCCACAAGTCCTCCGTGACCATATCGTAAAGAAATCCGGAGGATTCTATGCTCATGTTTGCCGCCATGTTTGTGCGTCTCGTGTATCGAACACTTTGCTTGTCAAAATCCTTCTCCCAAACGTTCCTTTCCGTCTTCCTTAATGATTTATGCCGATTTGATTATCGTTGTCAAGATCGACCAGGATTCAATGAACAAAAATCACAGTAAACCAGTATATAGATCTGAAATACGTATATTTGTTGCTTTCTCGACGGTCTGTTTATACGAATATAACCTCTTTCGTCCAACACCCTCGGGAACCGTTAACCGTATACCGTTCACAGTTTCAGAATTATTTTCGCGCGTCAAGTGTCTCTTGAGGTAGAACAATGTCGCTTTAAGGATTATGTTCGGGTGACAAAAAAACAAGTGTCGCGTAGATATTGTCCAGACAACGACTACCGTGCGCCCGACTAGCCTACACTGAGGACTGAGTACGGACACTACGAATCAGGCGGTCGCCGCCTCTAACGTCGCCGGTTTTGTCGATCAAATCAAGCCCCTTGTTATTTCATACCGCCGCAATGCGGGGACAAGAGCACCGGGATCGGACCTACAATGATAAATACGCGGGCAACGATCGTCGGGCTACGCGTTTCAATCTTGGAAGATGACCGTCTAACTCTCCCGCTTCTTCTTGTTCTTTCTATTCTTTCTCTTCTTTTTCGCAACGTGACTTCTCTCTTTGGTCGTTTGAATCGCTTTCGACACGATGATATCTCATGCCAGCCGAAATAAGGATACAATGGAAAGTGACAACGGCGTCAACCCAACGATTTTTCAGACTTTCACCGTTACTGTTTCTTTGTTTTTGATTCTGTAAAAGATTGATCACTGATGAATCAAAGCGAATACGTTTACCGCCAGAAATAATAAACACGATTGCACAACGACGCACAGGATAGAATGCACTTCACGCTTCTGCGTCTCTGATGTTCTTCTTCCTCGTGTTTTTGGTTATGTTCACCTTGCATTTACCGCTTCTTCGAGCGGATAAAGATACACTCTTCTTGACGTCTAGAATCGCACTTGATCGCACTGTTGTTAGTAAGTTATTATCTTTCCTTCTGTTTTTTTACTTTATGTATTTTTATCGGTTCGAAAAGAATACGAAATGGGATCCTCTCATCGTACCGACGCAACGGATAATGCGCGTTACGGCTAAAGCGGCCTCTTTTATAGCTACCGAGGCGCTACGCGTGGATAGTAAGCGAAAGAGACACGGAACATCGCAAATTCTTACGAGAAAGAGAGATGAAATTTAGAAGAGGGAAAGAATAAAAATGGAAGATAATAGCGATGAACTCGAAGTGCAGCAACGTATAATTCGATGTTGAGATTATAAATTATTTATTTAAAGAAAAGAACAGAGATATTTTGGTTCCTGAAGAAGAATGAATTCAATTTCCATCGTTCAACGTGAAAATCGATAGAGGCGCTACTGTAGTTCCACGGTTTCACGCAAATATTCGCAGTTATTCTCAAATTAAATAGGGGATCGAATTGAAATTCAAAATTGGTGTAGTAGCTGTAATTTTACAATAAAATTTGTTATTAAAAACTTTCCACTATTGACAATCTTTTCCCCAACAATGTGAACTTTAATCGCAGTACTTGTACAAATATTATCTGACAACATCTTCTGGTGACTACGTCAGACAGATAAAAAAATACATTAATATCGCTCAAGCTACAAATGATTGAAAATCATAACGAATTTATTCGACGATTCGCGGTTATACAGATTGAAAACGCGCATGAGAAACGAACGTAGCAGCAAGATTTTTTTTTGTTATTGTCGGCGAGCTTCATGGCATTGTGTACATCGCGAAACTACGTTTTCTGCGGCCGCCATTTTGATGATACAATATTAACAGACTTATTTAGATAACAATCGTCAATCAATACATATATATGGTGCTCACCGGTTGTCGATTCGTTATTATAGATACATAACACCAAAAGACATTCAATTTCGAAACAGTAAAATTTACAATCTCCTAAATACTATTAGTAGTGGAATAATGATCGAAACAAAAGAGTAGACAATGCAAAGCATAAATATTTATACAGCTGTATTATACAACGATATTGTCACAATATAGTAGAAACGTGGACAATAAACGTGCTGACAAAAACGCAAGACAAAGAGCGAAAAGAATGAACTGTACTGATAACATGTTACGATTGTATTTCCTTGCACGGAGTTCAGATTGAATGGAGTGCAAGATTTCCATCCGGCTAAATATTTAATAATGAAAAATTACACGTTCAAATCTTGTCCTTTTTAAATTATTACTGATATACTGTACAATAAGCTTTGAAAGGATAATAGAAAATGTAAAAATGTAAATGTACATTTGGAACTTACGTTTAATGTTTTCCTGCCTGATCTGTACACCCACTGTTGGTAATGTGGAACCAATAACGCCATCTTCCACAATAATTGGTAAACACGATTTATACATATGTATGTATAAATTTTCATATTGTTTTATAATACTGCATAATAACTAGAAATTAGAATAGATGGAAATACTGTTATAAATTTCTGTCAGGTACATTTACACGTCCTGGATTCACTGTTTCGACATATTCTCGTTGGTGGATACATTTAACAAGTTGATTATACAGTTGTAAACAATATATATACAGTAAATTTACGTCGTGCAAGATTCTGTAAGCCTCGGCCGTCACTGTGACCACATTATGTGTGGCCTTAATTAATCAAATTGCTAATGGCGCTGAGCCAAATGGTACCTATCTATTTGGCCTGCAATCAAAAGGATATTCAACAACTGTCATGCGTACGGGGCGCTTGTCATTTGCAAAATTTTTATGGCTGATCCTAAAAAACTCCAAATTTCCTCGAACTATCGTTTATTTTGCTCTAAAATTAGAGAAGTTTATTCTCTTCTGGTTTAAAATAGAGAATCATTCATAAGTAAGACATCGCTGTACTGGTTACCAGTACACCAGGCTTTAACTTCGTAGCTTTTCTCAAGAAACATATGTATGTTTAAATTTACCTATTCTAAACTCTACGTTAAGATCTGAATTTCGGATATATATGATCAAATGTCAAGAAAATGTCTTAATATTACATGTTTGTTATTTGAACGAGATACCAAATAATGCGGAAGTCCATCGATGGCTTCTTGTTTCGATGCGATGAAATGTCCCAGTATATTTTTATAATTATATAAGTCACTATAAGTAATTATGGCACAAGGATCATTTTAATCGTTCGAAACGCAATCGAATATATCTTTTTGCCGTCGAATTTTCAAAAAGTCGCGGAATATAACGTGACGGCCCTCTGTTGGCTGTGCATCCTTGCGTGGCGGAGCACTCCAGCGGCTCTATTTTAGGAATCGACAGAAAGTTAAGATTATTTTAGTTACATTTTTTACCTCCGAACCAGAACGCAGGGTGCTTAGCACAAGAACGTCACGATGGCGGAGTAGGTCGTTTATTACGTCGGACAACGGGGATTGCATACATTCCGTTTACGCGGAAACATTAAAAAGGAAACGCACACGCACACGAGCAATTACGTAACTATTGCACCGATTCACGATTCTCCAAAAAAAATTCGTGAAGCGAATTTCGACGAGACGTGTTTCATTCATTGCCAGAAGAGTTGAATTGCCCGCGAAGAACGTACGCAATCTCGATCTTCCCGCTGCACGATAAATCGGGCTTTTTTTGTGTCTACGGGACACATAGATCATTTCCGTGAAATATTCTACGATCGTTTACTTTTCGCTCAAGTGCGATTGTGTGTCTAAAATTGCATCAGCAATATCGTGGAAGTGTCTTCGAAATTTTTCTTCCCTTCCAAACCGAACAGTGTTACGTCAGTGCGCAATTTTAACCGGTGTTCCATTCGCGGAGGAATACGTCAATGTCTTCCGCTTCAGACGAACATTTCTATATCCAAGTTTTAGTCTTCTGATGTTCGAATCCGTTCCGGATCGTACCCCAACGTCTTCGTCATGGATATACGAAGAATGTCCAATTGGAACGTCCTGAGCGTGGAGGCAGCCCTTCAACAGCTTAACAATTTTGAGGACGGCAACGGCGAGATCATCAGACGACCAAACACGGTAAATTGCTTAGAATTTATTTATAGTCCCATTTCGAAGAACAAGTCACAATTTCACTGGACAAACAAATTACAATTACACTGCACATTCATTTACCAGAATATTCGACGCGAAATGCTTGAAACACCACTAGTGAGTGACGTGACAGGGTTAGACTTCTTTCCTAGCTCCTGTCGCTGGGGTATACTAATGGGTTCTACCTATTCTTATCTCGTCTGCTTGCCTGACTGCTTGTCTTTATTTATAACTAATTAAGCTAGACACTGTACGAAGTGTGTCCTAGTATGGTCCAGTTAACCACGGGTCTTCTGACAAATTGCTGTACGGTCCAGACTTTGCGTTCAACTTTATCGTGTCCTGTGAATTCCATAAAAGTACAAGCTGAAATGAATAAAAGGACGTTGTGACTCGAGGACACGGTGACCGCGTTGTTCAGTTCGAAGCGATTCATTGTGGATGGAATTCGAAAAACTGTAGTGAGGTTTGAATTATCGTAACAATGAGCATCTGGCATCATTTGAACGTGGAACATGCTACGAGCGCTATATCCAGGGAGGATCTCGGAACCCATGTTCATCGATACAGAATTGTGTCGACTGCGGTAATTGTTTAACGAGAATAATGCAATTGATAATTAAACCCCATTAAAACAAAGGAATTGGTTATTACTACTCTTTAGTTGAAGCTGAAATTGTATCTGATATCGTAAATACTTCGGTAAGACATTACCGTTCGGTAATAAAAAATAATTAATATTCGACAGGGATTTACTGTCACCTTACAATTCTGTGTGGTTAACTTTTAACTTTGAAATAGACTTCTTAGTCATTTTGTTAGAGTGTAATAATATTTTGCTCCGTATTGCGTAACGATGCTGTAAGTATTACAAAAGTTAAGTGCAATCCGATTGGTAATGGTGGAAACCGTCTAAGTGTTCGTGTTATCGATTTCATCTGACGGTGGTTACTATCATTACATGTTACACATGAACTTCGTTACAAGAATCTTATATATATATATATAAAAAGTGAACATCAAGGAAGTATGCAAATGGTTTAATAAAAGGTGGCTTATAGAGTGATTAACTGCCAGGGTCACAGACATTCTTATTCATTTTATTGTTTGATCAGAACACTCGAGACCATTTGTATCTCCAAACAATAATATCGACAGCTAATACATATAATGTATCGGTAGGGTTTGCTTTCTCCAAGGAACATTTTTTCGTTTGCATATACCGTGCAATTCCCACGTGCATAGCTTCGCCTCGTCGTCAGTCGCGTGTCGGACATGTTCCAAGTCTTAAATCAACCGATTCCTTGGCAGATTTTTAGAGTATCTCGGAACCTCGTAAAACTTTATAACGTTGTATAAACGACCCCAATTATCCATACAAAAAAAACTAACACTTGATATCCAAAAAAATAAACCTTAAAAAATCTTGTCCATCGGCTACAAGAAGAGAGAGGAATTGAGTTTCTCGATTTTCGCTCCCGAATTTTTCCACACAATGTCTCAAAGAAGTTTAACAAACGCTTCCTCAATTCCAGTTGAAAAGTTCAGAATGGCTATCAAGAGCAAGGCAATAATTCCGGAACATTCGGAAAACTTCATCGCGAATTTTGACGTTTCACGGGGGAAACACAAGGAAATGCACCTTGGCTGCATGTGACGAGTTTAAAATTAAAGCACAGACGGGTCTTCCAAGGCTTATATTTAGGACGGTGGCGCAGGCGCGATCCGATTAGAAATGCCGTGAAGACTTAGAACTTCTGGATCCCCGAATTCCGACGTTGCGCCGCGCGATTTTCACGAAAACGGAGGAGTCCGTTCTTGGGAACCCCGCGAATCCGACGTTCACCATCTTTTTACCATCGTTGCGAGAATCGCGGGCCCATCGTCGAAAGTTCGGTTTCCGCGAGGTGGGGACCAATAAGACCGATTCCGTAGAGCTCGAGAATCACATCGAAAATAGAATCCAATAGCGTCTGTGTCGATCGTTCGAAGAACGTGGTTCTGTGATATCGTTCGTCGAAAAATCATCTGTGTGTCTCCAGACTTGTCTCCGATTAAAACAGCAAGATGGATCTCGGGGGTGTGGATGTCTGGGGGCAGATCGCCGTGGAAACGTCTCAAATGTTCGTTTCCGAGGGCGGTGTGGTTAAGAGTCGCTTCGCGGGGACAGTAAGTGACGCAAGACACCTCCAATAAAAGACATAGGGAATCGCTTGTTCGCTGGAAAAATGTTGCAACCCCGTTTTTAAGATCTCTCGACGGTCGTCGTGTTGACGTCTCGTGAACAGAATATTTCACCTACGCTTCTTTTCAGACGATCGAGAAGCTTCCCGACAAGGTGATTCTGCACGTCTTCAGCTACCTCTCGCACCGTGAAATATGCAGGGTCGCACGTGTCTGCAAAAGGTGGCGTCAAATCGCATACGACACGCGTCTGTGGAAACACGTATCGCTGCGCCCGGAGATCAGCGGCTTGCACGTCAGCTCGTTGGACAATCTGCTTCATTTGATCAGGTAGACGATGCTTTCGACTGGTAGCGAAAAGAGGCAAAAAAGAAGTGTAGAGAATTTCTGGCAGATAATGCTTGTTCCCGAAATATATGTTCGAGAGGTGTTCCACTTGCCAAGATAGTTTGTAAACACCCGGCGATAATATGTATTTCAAAGAATGTCACGAAACAAAAAAGCAAAGAGAACAATTGTTGATTAGTTTTATGGTTTAAAGACGTAAGTTGATCGATGGATGAATTGTATGCGACAGCACACGTTTCGGCGCCTCGTTGAGGTACATCGAGCTGCCGATCGAACTCATCACGCACACGGTCCTCCACGAATTAGCGAATAAGTGTCCGAATCTGACGCACATGCTGCTCGACTTCTCGACCGCCATGCAGCTACACGATTTCTCGGAGATGCAGGCTTTCCCCACCAAACTGAAATACATGTGCATCTGTCTGTCGGAGGTGATTTTCATGGAAGGCTTCATGAGGAAAATTTACAACTTTATCAACGGATTGGAAATCCTTCATCTCATAGGTTCGTATTTCTTTTAACGTTCAATTAAACCATCACAGTAATACCGCCAAGATAAATTCATTTGTTGGGCCGTTCTACCTCGATTACACAGGCACGTACGAAAAAGTGGAGGAAGAAGAGGAAGAAATTTATGAAGTCATAAACGTGCACAAACTGAAATCCGCGACTCCTAACCTGAGGGCGATCAATCTCTACGGGATCAATTTCGTCGACGATTCGCACATCGACGCTTTCTCGTCTAACTGCATTCAGCTGGAGTGTTTAGCGGTGAATTTCTGCTCGAAGGTCACCGGCTCGACAATGAAGACTCTGTTCCAGAGGAGTAGAAGATTGAAGTGTCTTCTGATGCAGGGAACAAGTATCTACGTTCACTGAAATACAGTTAGACGTGTTCTTGCCACTTCTATAGCTCGATAGAGACATATTATATATACATGTCGTAAATTTTCTTACAGACCTTCAAAGCGAGTACGTGATGCAAGTGGAATGGGAGAAGTCCAGTATCCAGGAGTTAGACGTCACTGCTACGGACTTATCCACGGAATGTCTGATCGACATGCTTTCCAGGATCCCGGGACTTCGTTTCCTAAGCGCTGGACAATTGAACGGCTTCAACGACAGCGTCCTGAAAGCCTGGGCAGAGCTTGGTAATCCTCGAAACCTGATCGCCTTGGACCTGGACAGTTCGGATAACCTCACCGACGATGCTTTGTACAAGTTTTTGTCGAGATACGGCCATCAGCTATGGGGTCTTGCTTTGTCCGGGATGCCTCATATCACTGATCAACTGTGGCAGAGCGTGCTACCGATATTAACTAACGCCAAGTGAGTTTTGCTGATCGATATTGGGTTTTTGCCGTGGAAGGTTGAAATTCGATCTTTAGCTGATTCGTAGGGAACGATGAGGGTAGATGATTAGGGATCTTCTTCCATGGCATGCTTTCCTCTCGTTAGACGAAATATTTTAATTTGTTGTTTTCGAATGTATCTAGGATTCTTGTGATGGGAACGCAAGAGAGACTGGGCGTGAACATCCACGTGGATCAATTAATGGATGGCATCGCGAACAATTGTCCGAACTTGGAACGACTAGAACTGCGTTGGGATCCAGAGAACTTGCGGTTCTCCGACAAGAGTCAGAAGGCCATCGATATACTACGCGTAAAGTGTATCAAGTTACGGTGTCTGAGTTTAAGGTAGCACTTCGTGATTTTTGATCGATAGCAGATAAATCAATGCCGTGTGCTGTGATCAGTTTGATGTGTTCCAGCGATGGACGGTATTACGAGATCGTGAAGGCGAATTTCGAGCGAGCCGATCGACTGACCGTCGTACGAACGACGACGTGTTGCAGAGTGTCGAACTACTACCTCTTAGCCAATTACAAGGATTTAGTCTTCAATTAAACAAATTCTTTTCTATTATAATTGTGATTATTTGTATATACACCGCGATGGGATTCATGTACAAAGTGTTCCATATAAATGCATTACCGTGGAGGATAAATCCATTAACGAGGTAACGTTTAAATATAAATACATAATTCAGTCCTCATAGCTGATGTTACCAATAACAAATGTTTGTTCCAGATCTTGGACACGGAGCAACGACCGATACAGGATCATCCATTATTCCGAGTATTAAGACAGCGAGCAAAATACCAGATATATATTTTTATACACCACTTTTGAGTCCGTGCATACGCGACTAAATCGCCGAAAGATTTGTAAAACGATTTGAAATGTAAGGTTTTTGTCTTTCGAATGTGCAATTTGGAATTGGATAATCTCAATGTTCTAACTGTACTTATACAAGAAAACGAAGAAAAAAAAGAATAGTTTGACACAGACAAATAAAAGGGTACGATTTATTGCCGTTGATTGTTGTTCATGATTAATTCGTAGAAGAGAAAAAAAGGTTTCCACGAGCAATAGTGACAAGTCAGACACGCACAACGGTGTTCGTGAATATCGATTATTCGCTAATTTATTCATGCACCTGTGTAGACGACGACGACGACGACGACGTCGCACTGGCCACGGCCGGTCGGTCGATTCGCTCGATTTCATTCTCTAGCCACATGCCAGACCCTTCGTTTATATGTTCCATTATAGTCGACGTAGAACCGTCGTGGCCACCACGACTTTTCGCATGATTCCCGGAAGTTTCGCGGCGGAGCCTCATCCTATCGCTTTCCCCGGTCCCCCGATCTTCCCCAATGTCCGCGGTTGAGGAGGATTTGGCCGCGAAGAGGCTGAAAATCGTCCTGGTCGGTGACACTGCATCCGGAAAAGTGAGTTTCGGACTGTTTTGTTCGACAGTGCGTACAGATTTTTACACCCTGGGATCTTCTGTTCTCTTCGTTTTTTCTTCGTATTTCCATCGAACGGAAAACAGATCGATTGTCAAGGGTAAATTTTCGGTATGGCTTAAAAATTGTTCATTGAATACAGCGTCGAATTGTCTAGTTTGAGTTCAGTGTGTTTCAGCTTCGAGGAACAGGGCAGCGTATCGATTTATTTCTTTCGTGCTTCCTGAAGTGGTCAGTGTCACGACTTTTAAGCACGTACCTACAACTACCGCCCAGTTTTATCCAATAAAACATAAAAGTTCTTTTCTTTTTGGGATTTCTACGAGGTAGTCCTCTTTCTTTTTTCCATCGCTGAGAATACGTGTATGATAGAACAATAAGATTTTAATTGGGAAAGTATAGTTTTGTATATAAAATTACACGTTCGTGACACAAGTGATTGCATATCGGTAATTGTTTCTCTTGTCAACGGGCGGTTCACTCATCAATTTAATAAGCTAGCTGGTTCTTGGATTGGCTCGAAGAACTACGATGTGCATAGTTAATTGGATAGCGGACGTGATACGCGAGTTTCGAATGACAGAGAAATTCCGCTCAACGATTTTCCATTGTGATGTGTGAACATTGTCGATATCCAACAGGTCACACGTAAATCGAAAAGAAATTCGGATGAATATTTTGATTATTGTTAATCCGTCTTCGTGTATGTGTTTCGATTCACGATAACTGAAATGCAGGGATCCCTGTTTAGACCAGCATCGCCCAAAAGTTTTGCCACAACGACTTCAACAGACAGTACACGCCCACGTCTGGGATTGACTTTTACCTGAAGAATCTCAGCATTGGTGCTTACAAAAATGTGAACTTACACCTGTGGGACGTTGGTGGCCTCGCGCTTCATGGAAATATGTTGGACAAATACGTATTCGGTGCTCATGTAAGAAGAAGCAAAACAATTTGACAAACAGATTCGTGATTACAATAAAGTTCAGAAGAAATCGAATTATTCTCTTACGAAAGAGTTGATTCTTTCAGATCGTGCTCTTGGTCTACGATGTCACGAACAGTTGCAGCTTCGAGGTTCTAGAAGAATGGATCGACAAGATCAGGAGAGTGAACAACAACTACGAGGAAGCACCTCTGATGGCCGTGGTCGGTAATAAATGCGACATGGAACACCAGAGATCGGTGAAAAGGGATCGAAGCCATAAATTCGCCGCGGAGAATGGGTTTCCATCTCACGATGTGTCCGCGAGAACCGGTGAAGCGGTAAAAACTCATCAGATAATTACGTTCTTTAATGTTTTTCGTGTCGACTTTAATAGGACGGCTTCGGTTCCAGGTGTCTCTGTGTATAGTGACTTTGGCGGCGCAAATTTTGGGCGTACGACTAACGAAAACCGATCAGGACTTTCACAAGCCCATAATTATCGCGGAGATAGGTGACACTGTCGACATGAGCACTGTTCAGAAAATCGTGAAAAGGATTCCAACCAAGAGACAAACACAGCTACCCTTTTACCCTCATTTACCCACGTCGAAGTCGGCGGTGTGTGTGTTGCAGTGAGAAATTCGATCGTTAAATAATTCATAATGAAATTATTTCCACGCATAGGGACATATATTAGGAGCATTAACGTTGTACATAAGATATTGAAATATTTTTCGTAAAAATTCCGATCGGGACCTGATTGTTCACTTATACATATTTCGAGGGGCCAACGCAATAAACCGGTGTCTTCGCAGTAGATTTAGAAACAGATTTATTTATTTAATAGAATCTTACTACTCATGGCAATTAATGTTAATAATGGGTCGACGTAACAGCGTTAAAAATAAGTAATATCAGTTAATAGTAGTATCATACATGTAGCAACGTACATAGAGCATCGTGTGATCGACTACATGCTACGACCTCGATCTTCGATTTCGGTGATTTCAATGCTCCTGGAAAGATCGTACGGCGCGACGAATGTTTGTCGATCGTTCGCGAGACGAACTTAAAAAGAGCGCTGTGTCAGGTTTTACATACCAGACAATTAAATAAAATTGAACGATCGAATAAACAGAATTGTCGCTCGCGAAAAACATAACAAAAGGTCTATCGAACGTCTTACTTTTTTATAAATCGCTCGCTCGCGAGAAGAACTTTCTCTATAATCTATTTATTAATGGCACTAATCATGCAAACGTTACATATACGAGAACAGAAACTTACACGACAAACATAAACGCATTCAACAAGAGAACAATTGTTGTTAACAAGGGAGAATTGGGTAAAGGCGCAGATGTGTGCGTGTATTCGGAGACAATTGGTTTCGTAAAGTACATGTAAAACGCAAGTTTGGAAGCATTCGAAGGGTACAAATATGGTAATAAATAGCGAATAAATTAGTTGGCGCTTTCATTGCATTCGGTAGGAATCAGGTAAAACAGGTATAATTCGCAAAAACGGTATAGACAATCGTGAACGTGGCTATCGACGCAGCAGTCAAATCGTAAGACCGTCTTTCGAAACAGCGCTTCGTGAAGCAAGAATGGTATAATCTGTATCGATATACACAAACTTGACACTTTAATTCCTGATGTGGAAGCGCCATTTGAAAAACTCTATTGCTCCGGAACTATAAGTGAACAAACGTTTATAATTATTTACGGGCGATGCTGCAGTCGATAGATTGAATCACCCGTTTGAATCGAAATATAGAGTAGAATCCTATACATTAAACGTACAAGGTGCAAAATTATAGTTTCGGTAGATTTATACACCATCGATTGTTGCTCGTTCTTTTCTTTTTGTTCTTAGAAAAACTGGAACTCTAAACGTATCTCATTTCATTTCCTGACTTACTCTAATATGGTCTTCAGTCTCTTATTATACAGAGTGTCCCATTTTAATATTTTCACGTGTCTATCTTTGAATTCCATGTTTTATGCCAAATATAATTTGTATTGCTTTATATTGCGGCGATTCACCGCTAGAATTGAAGACAATTCCGTGGAATCATTCAAATAGAACACTCTGTATGTATGGTACCTATTCTTTCTCAATAATATCATATATCTTACTATAATTCCGATTTCTTCAACGGTCTTCTTGGCCATACATTTTTTTCTAATATCTTTTCTTTAGCGTCCCACAATTCAGTGAATTTGTCATTTAAAGGAGCAAGGTATGTCTCTATCCACTCCTGTATAGTATGATCGTCATATATATCTTCCATAGCTGATCTCATGTCTTTCTCAATGTACATTAATTCCATTTTATGCCTGTCCAGATCAACGACCGCGCGCTCTACGTGACTAGGACTCGAAAAAGAATACTTTATGTTGTACGGTTTCAACCATCCCTTGAACGTGTTATCCTGCTCCATTTTGGTAACTTCTTGGGTCAAGGAAAACAGTCGAAAAATAGCAGCATAGATCGATACTCCTTGGTAACTGCATTTGGTCCAACTATATTGAGGTTCTGGAGTCCTTAAAGAAATGCTACCCTCGCATTGTAGAGCTTGCATTATAGGAGTAGGTATATCCATGGGAAAACCACTTAAATCTGGAGCTTGCAAAATAGCTAAATTTACAGCAAGAGATGGCAAAGCAGAGGGTAACAGTTCACAGAGTACACTGAAGTGATCGTATCTTTGCCATCCTGTTAGGATCACACCTTTGAATGTAATCTGAGTAGAGTATTTCTTGATAATTTCTAACCAACGCTGATGATTCTCCATATGATACGCAACATCGGTATAATACTTATCCGGTGCAGTGGCACCTTTGAAAGCAGTAGCAACCCATACATGTTTCCAAACTGCTGCATAGTTTTCCCACAACTGGTCGGTTAAATATGTTCCCGGATCTGTAGTATACTTCCAAACAACTGGTTCCACTATTAAATGCAATCCTCTGTCTATTATTTCTTGTGGGGAAATGTCTCTGAACTCATCATCCCACATGAGAACTGTAAGCTCTGGATACTTATCCTTAACATATCTTGCTACTTTTGAAGTGTGATCTAAGAATAATTGTTTCTTACCCCATTGTTTTTTAACCATTGCATCCAAACACCTGGAGCATTCTCCTATCTGATACACTTCGTCGGCCCCTATGTGCAAGTGTTTTGCTTCAGGATGTGCAGCCACTACTTGGTCTATCATTTCATAAATTAATGGAAGTGTTTTGTTATGAGTGGGGCATAAAGCTTGAGGATAATGTGGCACTTCTCGATAATCTTTATATTTGTCTAATTTAAGTACAAACTCCATGTGACCAAAGGTTTGTACCAATGGTATGACAATGAGCTTATTTTCATTTGCTATCTCTTGAATGTTTTCAATATCTCTTTTAGTGTAACAATTTCCTGCACTGATATCCTGAATTTTTCCTTCGAAAGGAAACATGTCTTCGTATTCAATGAGTATACCAGTAGCACCTAATTTTTTGAGCAATTTTAACAGGTACTTGTAATAACTCACTTTGGGAGGAGCACCTTTTAAATCAAGGTGGACAATCTTATGGCCCTTGAACAAGGGAGCATTGTCTGTGTATGATCTACCATAATTGAGGTCACCAAATAACATTCCTCCTCCACTTTTCAATTTTCCCATTATGTGGGACTCTATTTGCAGTTTTTTGGCAATACTACGAGGACTCTCTGTGAGATCGCTTAAAGGATAGACATCTTCTATTTTTAATCGAGGATTTAGCTTATTGGAGGAGATGTCCTCGACCTCATTACTCAGAATGTGATAAATAACAATCAGCAAAGTGAAACTGATCATTATAATAACTATTAAAGAGGCTCTGCCTCTTAACCGCATCATGATTGTCAGCCAAGTGTAACATGAAGCTCAAATCACTTTCTTATTACTCCGGTTTGGTCAAAGCTCTCGTTACTTCCGACACGATTTGATTGTTCCCTTTCACTGAATGATGGCACTCGTGGAAAACAACGCGAAAGATTCCGTAGCTCGTGATTTATTTAAACTTTGTTCAATCTAGTTACGTCATTGTACAACAATTTAATATTCTTTAAATAATTATTACTTCGAGGAGACAACACGAGCTTTTCCCTTATCACAGTTTAATGACAGAAATAGCAGACTGTTCTCACCGCTGTATAGTGATAAAATGCTATCGAGAATCAGGCTGAGCAACCATAGCCACCATAGCTACATACTGCGGAATTAAACACGCTTTCTAACCTTGATTTCGCAAGATGTTTGTTAGTTAACTGTTGTTTAAATCTTTAGATTGATTCGATAAGCGGGTATATATCTTTAAAATAAATGCTATGAATATTATGCGAACACCTTAAACTCAAAAACATTTATCGTTTTATTTATGAATAATCCAGGAACATGAACTTCACAGGAATAATCCTCAAATAATTTACAACCATCAACAATAATCAACAACGATAATTTGCATCGAATGGAATATATATATATCATTTTCCATTTATTCTAGATTTAGAAATAGTAAGTTGTTTGCCTTTTTGCTTCTATCATGTATTTCCTCAATGATGCTTTCATTTACATTATTAAAATCGTGTTCTAATGCTGTAACTCTATTATTTAAGGATTTTAAGGTAGTAATTGAATCATTGAAGAGCTGAAGACTCGATTGGAGTACTTTTAATTCATTTTCCAATTTAGACAGTTCGGAATTGAGTAGCTTGCTGATTTTGTCCAGGAGTGAATTACTATTGTCAACTAGTATTGATGTTGGTGACAATAGTGCTACAGTGATTGAATAATCCTTGCAGTCAAGCAGCCTACTGTGAATCCATGGGTGAACACAACGAGATAGACATATTGCGTCTGGATGAGAAAATATTCCACATATTGAGCAGTTGAATGGATTGATCACAGGGGCATAGCAACCGTTGCAAACTACTTTTTTTTATGGAGGCATGGTAATAGTGTAGTTGTAGTTCAAAATATATTTAGAGTGATAGATACTGAGACGCAATAACACTAACATACTTTCACAATATACAGATACTTACCAACACAACTGAAACACAATAACAGAATCAGGCAGGTATAGGAGACAATTAGGTATGAAATTTATGATTCGAAACTAGTAAATAAACGCCGATAAAAATCACATTCAGATCACAAAATCACCAGCAGCGAGAGAGCACAAGTTCACGGTGGGCAATACCAGATTAAAAACAATTGTGTTTTATCTCTACAGTGTTTTTACCTTCTGTAACACGACTGTTATTATCAGTTGCTTTGTTTCATTTTGAAGAGCAGTACTTTAAAGGCACAACCGCGTGACAGATTTAATACCGGTGGTACAGCAAAAGACGATCCGATTTATAACTTTTTACATGGATATAAGATCAAAAGGATCTAATACTAGATTACCGACTATCGTATCGGATTGGGCGCAGAAATACATTCTACAAACCAAAATGAAATAAATACTAGAATATAAATTAACATTCCTTTGTATGTTATTTTACATTTGATGATAAATTTTCTGTTTCCTTTTTCGATTCTTCCTTCTGGTAATTAGTTTATGAAAAAAAAGGAAAAAAATCTGAACAAACCCCCCGTATAATTAATAATTCATAATACATTTTACTATATTTAATAAAAAAAATGCATTAACGAAGCCAGAATTGTCAAGGTCACGTGCTTGACCCACAAATAACGAAACGTCGTTCTGCATCGAATTTGCTTAATAAGATCCATCGGCGGCATGCTAATTTTCCGACGATCTTGAATTAAGATCCGTTTTAAATTCGCGCCGTGATCCAGCTCTATTTCCTCAAAGATCCTTCTGTTATCCACCATCGTCCAGCTATTCACGTTAGAATAAAATAAGACGAAACAAAACGTTCCCAGTGTTCGCCAATTTACGCCTGAAATACGTATCGATTAAGGGCATAAAATCGAAGAACGAAAGGGGATGTTTAAAGAATAGAGACCGTTTTCGCCGCGGTCTAACGAGGAAAAGAATCGAAGACGAGCGAAACCGGAGGAGGCTCGCTCGTGTAATGGAATCCGCCGCAGCGAAATCTTAAATCCTATTCCTTTATCTCGTTTCCAGTATCCGCAAACCGTACAGCCACCCGTTACATAGTTAATGAACGTGACTCACGTCTCTTTAGTTATGATGAGAGTAGGGGAATAATTCTACACAATAAAGCTATTTAATGATGTCACTCCACGGGAGTTTAAACCACGCGCGTCTTTCGGACGTTTCGCGATCTCTCTCGCCGGGAATTTCGTAAAAAAAAAAAAGAAACTTTCTTACTACTTTTCTTTTAATTCGCCCGATTATTATTTCTTTCAAGTGCTGTGATTCAATCCAGATATCCACGAAGAAGACGGTTCGTCATCGAAAGTGAAAGAACAGGCATTCGTAAAAAAAAGCGTCACCATACACAACCGAGGACTTCTTTCCGCTGAACAAGGAATTCCCGAGGCAAACAATATCGTTTAACATCTCCTATAACACAACACCTATGACCGTCAAGAGGGGAAAAATATTTGTCTTCCAAGGAAATATTGTTCACGGGTGTTTAAGGAGAAAGCCAGATTTTGAACCGCCACGTTCTCCGCGCGCGCAGTAGATCCCACACTGCGCAGTTGCTCGATCAATTGTAGATATGCATGGAGTAATGGCAAGCCATATCGTTGTCGATCATCGTTCAACATTCTAGGTATGGAAATGGGGAGATGTGTTACAATTCGTAACGAGTTTCGAGTACTCTGGCAGTCCGATCCCATTCGTCGAAATTCAAGCGATAAGAACGGGTTCTCGAAACACACGGCGGGAGGATGATTCTTTTGAGTTATTATTATCGGTGACAAGAGAAACAACGTCAGGCCCTGGGTCTGGCCTCGGTGAACGAAACTATTCAATTCTCTCTGTACATATCTACATACTACGGGCGTGCGAACGCGAACCGCAGAAAACGCGTCAACGTGCTTCCGTGGCAACCGAACCGGGGGACAAAGACATTCGGTTCGACACGATTATTCAGAAATCATGACTCAAGCCCGCACATGTAGACGGCGTATCTACGTTTGTTCAGTTTTTTCTTCTCGCGAATCTGTAGAGACAGCTGCGTAACAGAGGGAACAATTGTATAGAGGGGGGAGAGAACTGCGGAGAGCAATGTTTCCGCGAGAGAATGTAGCAGAACGATTAAAACACCTGATCCCTATTACGCGTTCGTTGATAATTGGGGTATAATAGAAACTTGGCGTATGTTGTATATATTCTACTAAACAATTGGGGAATTTTGAGATTTAAAAAAAATCCATTGATCTTCAAAAAGATGTATTATATTAGTTTGAAAACGCAAATTCCCTATGTTTATTGAACGAAAGATGGACAACCAGTTTCTTATCTTCAATTCGATATTTGAACTTTCTATCTCATAGATAACGAATTTGTCCACGCTTGTGTAGTAGCTTCGCTCGGTGAAAAAAAAATTGGAAAACAAACTTCTGTCGTTTACCATGGAATGCGTAAGACACACACGGTAATGTTTGTCAACGTTGATAACCACCAAATCCCGGTGAAGGGTATTTCGACGATTGTCTGGATTTGGCAATGTTACGCGTCGAAGTTTGCCGCATGGTAAATCGTATGCATCGTGCGTTCTCCGTTCGAAACACTCGATCGGCGAGTATATGAACACACTTTCGTTACTATGCCGGTACACATACATATCCTCGAGAGTGTCTTTCACGGCTGATAGAATCGATGATAACGTGTTATTAAACTGAACTGCGCCAATGCGCGGCGCAAGAAACCTCTCCAATTGCAGCCGTGTCTGAAATCGTTTTCAACGGCGGTTGTCCTCGTCGATCGAGCGACAAAGACCAGAGAAAATTTAATATTCGAATCGACGGAATATAATCTTTAACAATGCAATTCTTACATAACACATTGGTACTACGTCATCCGACATCAACGTTGATAACAATTTCTGTCTGGCCCACGAACAAACGAAACGGAATAGTCGATTGACTCCAATCGAATTAATTGGCAGCGCGACGACGTTGTTTCCTTCGCAAACACCCACGAAATAAGTCCGTAAACAAAAGACACGAACTGACGCGTGCGCGCGCGCGCGGTGGCGATTTTTGCTGACAATGAGGAAACCTTGCCCCGTCCACGCACTCACACATACACGGACGGGTTTCATTAAAGGAAGGGCACGCACTCGCGGGCCTCTTTCGACTCGTCGTCTGGAACCTCCTGGAGATAACGTGACATTACGGTCAAGCCCCGTGCGAGCCAGTATGCGCGCGAACGTCGTTGAATGCGCACCTTCTTCCCGCTTCACCGCGAGCCTTTGTTTCGTTCTTTCCCTCGAGTATTGTTTCTACGGTCTATTATCTCCGTAAAAGATAGTTTCACGGTGAATCTCTCCGAGAATCTCATCGAGAGTCTCGTCCATTACTCTCGTCAACGAAAAAATGCAGTGACCATTATCCCTCCACAAAGTGATTTTGGTGTTGATCATCCAAACAACCGAGCGATCCGTAAGTTCTCAGTGGGTCATTTTCTTCGTTCCGTTCTACAAATCCAGAGTTAGTTTTGCCTTATTCATCATCGACCAACGCGTACTCCAGAACGTTTCGCCCCGGGAGGGGATAAAAGAATGCGGGAAATCGTGTTGAACGAAAGTTTACGAAGTTAAAGAACGGACCGATTACGAGAACCGTTTGACAACGGTGTTCGAGATCCAACCAGCAGTCGCGCGGCGAAACAGGAAAAGTGAAAGGACTTTCCGCGGAGGCGATCCAGCACGTGATTCCGTAGTTCCTTGCATGTGTGCACTCGCGAAACTCCCCCGAGTAGTATATTTTCTCAGATCGGCGCCTGCGGGAAGATCGATCGACCGATCGCCTCTGTGAATTACCCGCGTACATACAGATCGGTGTTAGGATCGCGCCGTTGCTCGTTTCGAGTCGGAGAACGTAAATGGTGAAACGAGTGGCGAACAAGGTGATCGATTGAATCGCCAAGTGGGCGATTGGTTACGCGCGGAAAAGTGCAACGATCTTATACGTGACCGTCGACCTGCACGCCACGCACACATATGTATACACACGTATTGTCCGTTCTCGTTGCACATGACACGGGCACGTTCGAAATTATCATATATCTAGCTCTTCCTGAACCGTGTTGTACATCCGTCGTCGGACGGGATTCACTGCGTGGCCGTCGTGTGAATTAAAAATAGTTGGACGCGGGTGAAAACGACCCCGGAATCCTTGGTATGTATTCCCCCGTGAACCCTGGCCGTGTCTCGGGGAACTCGCTCGATTCCGTGGATGGGTATACGTACATCGAAATTGCGGTGATAAAATGAACGGAGTGGAGTTGCTGTGTGTACGTGCAAACACCGATTACCCGGAATCACTATGAATCGTATGAGTCGAGTAATAACGATTAGAGCTGTTAATTATAAGATACTGGAGTACCCGGGTAACCCGTGAGATGTCCGGGTAAACAAAAATTAGCCGGCTACCGGGGTATCTCATGAGATACTCAAAGATATGAGACAGTCGAAAATCTCGATACGGGAGCCGATATAGCCCTAATAACGATACGAAAATAAATCTCCTAAAACAGCTGTTTGCTTATAATTAATAAGTATCCGGAAATGGAATAGAATGCATTAAACTAATTGTAATCAGATTCTAAATTCTAATGATAATGCACTGCGTGGAATTTTGAATTGGGAAACATTGTTGAACCGTTGTACTGTCGTTAATTTACTAGTAGAATAAAATTCGAATAAAGGTAGGAATGGTCGAGAGTATTTAAGAGAGGGTAGAACGACCATAACCGGATTGGGACCATAGGCACAAGTGACATTTGAACGACTAATGACATATTAACTAGGGTACGTAGAATTTAAGATCAATATTCCAGTTAGAACTAGGCGATAACAACTCGGGAGTAGGTATAACGCAAGTGTTGATGGTTTCCTTGGCAGACTTACCAAGTAGGAGGGCCTCCTCTATCCGCATTGTAGTCGTTACCCCTGGCCCTTATCCAACAGCCTATCGTGATTGTGGCGTCGAAACGTCAGACTTTCCAGAATGACGTCTCGCCGTTGGGTTCCGTTAACGATCATTCTACGGGGGACAGTGACGCACACATTCCGGCGAATTAGCCTCCGAAGTGTTTGCGGGAGATCTCTCTTGGCCAACTCCCACGGAGACCAACCACGTGTGTAGTTCTCCGACGACGATCTTACGCGTGTGCTTCTTCTTTTTCGGGACGCTGTAAACAGTCGCGAGGATGACAGTGTAGAATCTCGTGGTGATTGGTGGTGACATAGGAACGCGAGCGTTTGTTCCACAGAAATAGTCTCTGGGTGGTTCGTGGTAATTTAAAACGATCCAAGTATGATACACGCGAAAATATTATTTGAATTTCGAGAAGATATCATATATGTTTGATAAGCGTTAAAGTGTTAACACGATGTCGGATTGGTGTTGAATATCCGCACCGAATGGCCGGTATCGTTTTGATATTTATAGTATAGTTCGAATCAGGGATCGGAGACTGGAATTGGCGGTAACCCGACGCGAGAGACGTTGACTTCGAGTAACGCGTATCGTTTCCTGGTAAGTTCGGGTGACTCCGAAGACTACGGCTTATCGCGGTTGTTGTACCAGGTACTTCGAGATTCATGGAATCGAGATTAGTCACGGAATAGGTTTTCGACAGCGAGGCTATTTCTAAACTCGACTTGGCTGCAGGGGGTGGCGACCAATAAGCTTATTTTTAGGGAACCGCCGATGTTATTAACCCTCTTGCCGTTCGGGTACACTTCAATAGAAATATCCCTTTCTTGGCTAAATATAGCCACCGCTCGGACCATTCACCGAGAATATTCTCATTATACGTTGTCCGAGGGACACTGCGCAAACTTGAAAGTGCCGGTCGTGCCTGTACCTCCGTAACGCGCCAATAAAAAGTCCACCTAGACATTTATGAATTTAAATATGCCGGCAGAGAAATTCTAGAAACACGCCCGACTAATTATCTCCTCTATTGTACTCGCGACAAAGTCAACTGACCACAACGAAACCATCACGATCCCGCTATAGAGCTAATCCGTTAATCCCTTCGCCTTCCTCGAAAATCTATAGACAGGAATTATAAGTATAATAACCAGGTATAGATGTATAAGAGCGTTGTTCATCGGTGAGAATTGTCATTCGTATAGCCTGTATATATACTAGAGACCTTCAACCAGACTAGCCAGGCTAGTTCGAATAATAGGGCACACTTGTGTTCGCAGGAACGACATGAACAAAACGGAACTGAAGATCGTTCTGAACACCGAGCCGCCGAGGACATCCTCGAATATGATACACTCGCACATACCGGTGCCGAGGATAACTAATGCGGTTAAGGCCCAAGAAAGATGTCCTCCGCCCAGGCGGGGATCCTTCGAGAAACTGTCCAGAGGCGTCTCGGTGGCCGCTCAAAGGGCGTCCTTCGAGAGGCTCGACGCTTCCGTTCAGCTACGGCCAAGGAACAACAATTTATCGGCCTCGAGTATCGAGGTACGAAGCACCGAGGAGAAACTTGGCACGCCGCCGTTCTGCGTCAACTGGAAAACGAACACGAACAACGAGCCGACTAGCGGTGTCGCGAGATTGAATCGTAGCAACAGCCTGGAGAGCAAGTGGAAGAGTAAATATGAGGAGTCGGAGAAAAGACGGAAATTGTTGCTGCAGAAGAGCGAAGCTGGTAATTAATAATTAGTAATAAGTTCCACGAGAGGGGCGTAATGAGCGTTTGTTTGGAGACTAACTACTTAAAGTCGTTTCGGAACTTTATTACGATTCCATTAGTCATCATTAACGTAGTGACGAAACACGACCTCCTACCCAGCCCCTCCACCGACGACGACGAGCATTAAATTCGATTAAACAGCTGCGTGATATGGAGCCCCGAGTAAATATGGAACGACCACGCTTTTCCGTTGATCCGGCTTTCGAAGAAATTTTACGACAACGAAATTAATCGTTTTCTTCGATGGTTTTTTTTTCTCTGGAAGTACGTCTCCCGTGGATCTGCGTATTACAGAATACACGAAAGTAGATTGAGTACACTACCTTGACCCTGATCTTCGACGATCAGAGGAGGACATTAGAAATTTTAATCGCGATTGTTCGAGCCAGTTCTCCAGAATTAGTTTCTCAGACGAGATACAATCTATCGATTTGTTGTTGTAAGGACGATCGTAGTGTCTGTGACAGACTTACGTAAAAAGACATAGGCGTTGACGAAGATACACGTCGAAAGGGAAGTGGTCGATGCGTGATTATAGTTCACGGCCAATCATCTGTAATGTAACTTAACCATTATTCGGTCGTGATTCACAGCCTGCATGCAAAACGAACGCTGTGACGTTTCTTTTTATTAGTCAGCGCGCGTACGCGAGAGTATTATAAATCGTGCGGAATTACATATCGGGAAGTTCGTTACGTGTCACGTATCTAAGCTGCAATTTCCAATCAGGAATTTGATCGAATGAAATTCCTAAATTTACAGCTACTAAGGATCATGTCGATTTGGAGAGGAAATACCAACAATTGCAGAGACAGAATGGTACTCTGCAGTCGCAGTCGCAGGAAAAAGAACAGGAGCTTCAAAAATTACGGACGGGTAATTTGCTTTAATTGGTTCTTTTATATTATATTTCACGAATTTATCTCATTGATCGGTGATACATTTATTCAGTAATGTACTTTTTATCCAGTTTCCGAGGCAGTGTGCAAAGAATACGAACGACTGAAGCATCAATACGATGTAGAAACAGGCGCAATGCACAAAGCAATGCAACAGGCGTCACAGGTAAAACCGTACCAACTGTGATTGTATTCCTCCTACACAATCACGATCGCGATTTATCAACGACTGAATATATATCTTTTCAGTGGTACAGACAAAACCGTGAACTGAAACGAAGATCGCAGATCATATCGCAAAAGCTACTGCAAGCCAATCCCGAGGGATCGTTGGATATTGAAATATCGGACGAGGTCGACTCGAACTTCGAGGATCTCGAGCAGCTGAGGGAAACGGTGAAAGGTACAGGAAGATTTACACGTAATACTTTCATTGTTGTTATCAGAGATTTCGAACGAAATTGTGTGTTTTTTTTAGAATTGAGTAAAGATATTGCCAGGCTTCAGACGGAACTACATTCCGCTAGGCTTCAAGAATTCGAAGCCCAGGAGCAAGTGACGCACCTGACTACACAGTTGGACGAAGAAAGGACTCTCAGGCAAAAATGTATCTCATCACGTTTTCACTATGTTACTTACGATGTTTATACAAATAAGAGGAAATTTGTTAATGAACTTTGTTCATACAGACGAGGAGAAGGTAAACGAGATGAAGGTGCACCAGGAGAACATGGAAAGGGTCACGAAAATGGTCGCGGAGGAGGTGCAGGCGTTGAAGGCACAATGCGACCGTGAAAGGGAGAACGCGAAAATTATGAAAATAGAAGCGGAAAGGGTAGGTGGCCACTGGCGTAAGAAATTTTGTGGGTCTAGATTCTAAGATACGCTATTGATCGAGTGATGATATCGGTTTTTAACAGGTACAAAAAGAGAGAAACGTATTGGCTCATCAGAGCGCGCTCCTGATGGCCGAAGTTGGCGATGATCCCAATGATAGACTGTTGACCGTTCTCCAAGAAGTAGAATCGTTAAAGAGACTGCTAGAAGAAGAACAACAGAGTCACGCTTCTCATATACAAATGCTGGAAGAGAAACTGGAGGAGAAAGAATCGAACGTGGAGTTCGAGATAGTGGAGGAGAAGCTGAAGCTGGCAGAATCCGAACTAGACGTGGCGACGCAGAGGGCCGACAGGGCGGAAAAATTGGCGGAAAGTCTGGAGGCCTTGATTCAAAGTCTAAAGACGAAAATTGGCGAACTGGAGGAGAAGCTTTCTAGGCCACCACCTCCACCTCTGCCTCCACCACCACCACCACCGATGTTCAACAACGGCGGACAATCGTCGATCAAATTGCTGACGAAAGAAAAAATGAATTCGGAACGCAACGCGGTTATCGACATGGAGAACATGCTTGGAATCACAAAGAAAACACCAACCGTTGCTCAACAACCGGGTAAATTAAGTTCTCGATTTCGTGGCACAACGGGCAAAAGTGTGTCAAGTGTCTTGTGTGTAACTTTATCTTCTGAAATCGTTTCAGCCATCGATGATATTATCAACCAGATAAAAGGAGGACGGTTTACATTGAAGCAGACAGACGTGAGTATGGTATTTCTGAGAGTTTCTTGTGGCTAGAGGAAGATTTGTTAAATATCGTGAATTCCATTGCAGAAACAAAGGGAGGAGGAGAGAAGAAGACGACAGGAAGCGGAAAACGCACCACCTGCGGTCTCTGAAATGTTAAACATTTTAGGTACCATGAGAAGAAGAGCGAAGCCGATAAAACAATCCTTCCAGTCTACAGGCGGGCCTACATAAAAATAGATATTGTTAGTAATGTGCAAATACCATCTTTTAAAGCCTCAGGCACGCGCTACATATCGCTGTCGATTTACCAATTGCATTTTGTTTATCAAATATCTGTTCTACGAAGTTACGGTTTAATATTACGTTATTTATTTAATCGTAAAATAAATTTTGTACCATTGAATAAAGTATGTAGGTTTACGTATTTTTATATTATGTGTAAAGCAAAGTGAATAAAAGATGGTTAAGGGAGAAGTGATGGAAACAGATTGCAGTAAGCATTGTGAAAAAAGGTGTATTATAAAAAGCTGGTTACATGTACCGTATATATATATGATACAGTTCATTGTACAAAAAATATCAAAGATGTTACTCTTTATCAAGCATACGCACTTCCTTTAATACATCAAAGGAAGGCTTCTCGAGGAATATTAGACAAATCATTGTTAGTCCTTTGGGTTGACTTTTCTTTATTTTATAAAAACGAAACATGTACTTTTATTTTATCAATAATTTGTTGTAGTTTGGTAGCTTCGAACAAGAGAACCCTCCTGTACGGGACCATCTCATTATCGGTTTCAGTCCACGTGCCCGACAAGCCACTGTCTGATTCCTTTTCAACGGAAAATTCAAAACTAAATGTTGCTTCCTCCGCGAAGATTTCTTCTTCGGGATTGCTCCATAAAATGGTCGGTTCTTCAGCATTATCCTTTTTCTTATTTTTCGATTTCTTACCGACCTTTTGGTCTTCCGTTTTATACAGTTTGCAAATCAGTACATAGTAAGAGAAGTTAAATGGCATCCTCTTACTGGTTGCCCTTTTTATTTCAGATGTCAAGTTCTCCAGAAGCGGTACCGAAATTTGTGCTGGAATGTTAACGAATCTTTCATTAATTAATAAGCCTAAGGCTTCAGAGTCATTCTCAAGAACATGTTTTATCATTGTGTTAGTTGCATCTGTTGCATGCTCATTGGCCAGTTGCCGTAACAGATCTCTAAGTTGCTGAATGCAAAGGTGGTTCTGAAATAAAGATTTTATGGATTAAAGTGAACTGAATGAGCCTCAAAAGTATTGTTTGTATCACTTACCTGTCCACTGGATAAATTAATTACCGTAGTGATACCAAACACATCATTGATGTCATTGTCTTCATCATCCGAGTCTTCTAGATCATCTGACTGTTTAACAACTGAACCCACATAATTTTGAGAAATAATTAAGTCAGTGAGACCACCTAAGTCAAGATGTGCTTTCAGAAACAGCTGCTGTAAAAGTGTCTTAATGCCATGAAAGTCTGGATCTAAGGGACTCCTTCCCTCAAAGTCTACTTGTATTTCCATTCCCTAATTAGAAAAGTTCTACATTCAAACCATATAAATATATATTGAACATACAGTTCTCTACAAATTGACTAATTATAATTACTCTTTACATGTACTTAACTCCATTGAAAAGTATGACTCAAAACAAGTGACCCATTTTCTGTCTTATTTCACTAAAGGATTGCATGATAAATTTTCAACAAACACTTCTAACACGAATTGTGAAAAAGAAAAATTTGTTTCTATCATAGAAAAACTGTTCAAGGCAGCCCATGCAGGATGACGACCACGTTGAATATAATGACAGTTCAGTAAATGATTTTACAAGTTCATAGCATTTTTAAACTTCAATAGCATTTTAGATCATTGTAATCCATGTAAAGCGACTTTAATTGTTATAAATGATCATCAAAAACAAAACCGCATCGGTGACCGCGTGTTTGAAAGTAAGGTTAAACACAACAGTGATGTTCTATGATGGCATAAATAATTTAATTATGTCTTACCTGTTCCCCCACCGCATTGTGCTCGTTATCCTCACTGTTCGATGAATTGTGATCATCGTCGTCACTACTTCTGTCTTCGGTGCTTCGGTGAATATCACGTTTCTTCATTGGAGCAGCCATCGTCACCACACGATCTGACGGTTCAGCCGGATTCTAACCACGTGACATGCCGTCAGATTCTTGAGTCATTTAAAAACAACAATCGAGAAATCAATAAGAAACAGCAGAAATTTTCCACTTAAACACATTGTCAAACTTGTATATTATTGAAAGGACAGTATTTTAATGTCACCATTAAAAATAGTACGTTCTTTAGTCGAACGTAAACATTTAAATCTTTCCTCTTGTCGAATATTTATACAGTGGATAACTAGGAAAGCTGCCATTGTAACATTAAGTTCAATTTTCTTTCTCCAGATGACGCTCCCTACACATTTTCCCGGACCCACCAATCAGTCGCGGCTCATTACCCGCCCAACCGTTTACCGCTTAGTGTCCTGCTAATCTATTCAACTCTTTTTCCTCAAAAGAAGAAGTATCTCCTCAAGACAGCAAAACGTGAGTCAATTTACTAAAGTTCTTTGGAAACTCTGTAAAAATCTGCTTAAATTCAAATTAAGAAACACTTCTGCTGAATGCAATTAACGGTCACCAATTTCGCATTCAGCGGTGTCGAAAGCGTCCGCCATTTGCCATGTGCTTTGAACGTTCGCGCGTTGGTACATTTATGCAAACAACAAACAGTTATAGTTAGTATTGTGCTCGAATGAACTGATTAAGCAAAATAAACGAATGCTGTTATGTTAACAAAAAAAAATAAGAATTTTGATGGGTGACGGTATGCGCGGGAGAGTGTTAAGTCGCGGAAAATTTGAATTTTAAATGGCAGGGCCGTGCGCGGTACAACGAGTAGAACGAAGGTCCTTCGTCGTTGTCGGCACTGCGACGCGAAAATTCGATTAAAGTTGACGCGCATGGGCCGAAGGAAATCCTGTTTTCTCAAATTTCCCGGAGTCTGTCAGGTGGCACCACGGCGTTCACCTGTCCGCATACGGAGCAGTGCGATCGGTTTTTTAGGTTATAGAAAAACACGGAAGGCCCAGACTCCGTACCCCCGCGTATAGATAGCTATCTTGTCAGACGAGAAAGACAACGGTGGTTCCCTTTTGTCGTGTCTACCCTCGTGAGATTTCGTGAGTGCTTTGAGCTGTGGCGGGCGGTGAGATGGCTGTCTCTTTCTATTCTTCTTTTTTACTGTCTCTCTTTCTATATCCCTCTGTCTCTGTTTCCTTTTCTCTTTATCTGGTGTTTTTTCTCCCTAGATGTTCCGCTGAATAGATGTTCCACAAACGCTGTACACGATTAATCGTACCGGTGATTAACTTGCCTCGCGATATGCGTACTACGTGTTGTACATATCGTGTCTCGATGTACACAATACCCCTGATGCATCGAGGATCAGCTCGATTATCCGGAACTGGAACCGGAAATAATCCAAAAGGTGCACAACTTTTGTGTTATTTATCCTTCTACTTTGCTAAGCCAAATATTTATCGACGATAATCTTGTACATTCGTTGGTCATTAGATAATTCTTGATAAAGATCAGAGTTTTCCGAAGGATCTTATCCATGATATAACGGACTTTACCTACAATCTTTGATCTCTCATTCCAAATTTCATATAATGAATTATATGAACGTATAATCAGAATTATTCCATAAACCGGAAGTCGAGCTACCCTTCGCCGTCCTCCTATATACACACAAAACACGTACAATTGGAATGTTTTTCATTTTGGCTGTTAGCGGTGTCTTTTAGCGCTGATCCATAGCATAGCTGTCTCACCTGCCTTGGTCTGTTCTTTCCTGCGTTTCGTTTTCTGTTCGTTGCCAAAACCCCTCGCCGGATGTTTTACGGTTGTTCGTTGTGGACTACCAATTCATCAAATGTTTCTGTTGCTGTCGGGACAAACGTCGCCAGGAAGTGAACTCTTCCCGGACGAGAAAGCGATCGAACGCGGATTTGCCGATTAATTGCGCCCCGTTACGCTTCTGCTCTTTGACTCGATGGCCTGCTACCAATAACACGTAACCATTGAATCTGATTTGTTACGCGACATTGAAGGTAGAACTCGTAGCATCCGTGTATTCGCGATCGTACGGTACAGGATGATGTTATGGTCTCGGATTTTCAGCTCCCCGAGAGGGAGTTTGGTTTATTGATTTCTCCTCGCTGTTTTCTTAGATGCTCTTGTTACGCTCCACGTGGAATTAGGCCAAGATCGAGTCCCTCTCGGGGAGGGGGGGTAGGGGTGACAGATAGAGAGGTCCTGACGTGGAGATATTCCACGGAGGCATCGGGGCAAAAATTCGCGCAAACACTGCGGGGAGGGGGGGAGGTTCCGTAAGAGTTAATCGTTTATTGATTCCGCGCGATTTCGAATGTGCTGCCCTAGACTGTTCTATACCGTCCGTGCCTATTTGACGCCGTATTTCGCGCTGGGGATCAGTATGCAAGCGACCGTGTTCTCTGGCCGTTTTGGTGTGCGTATATTATGATGCAACGAATATGTAGCGGGTAGATGTTTATGTACTGTGTACCGTTCAGAATTAGTCGAACCACACATTTATACAATACAAATTGTGTACTTTGAATATTATGTACGATAATCTGTATATTTACGTTACTACTATACAGATGGAATTTATTTATCTATTTTCATATCCATCATTATGTGAATAATTATGAACGGTACTGTAAAACTCTATGTTTACACACACATACTACATAATGCAGAACATTACATATTACAGTAAGTAGATTAATACACAGGTAGTGTTTCAGTATAAAGAATATCGATTATTTTCATTTTAATTGAAAGGGTTAAAGAAGCAATAGTAACGGGATAAAGAGCAAAAACAGATGATCGCATAACGATGTATCCGCGTAGGCTCGAATCGGAGAAGCTCACGGGGTCACGCGGTAGGCGGTTCTTTTTTTCAGAACGGGGGTGGGAATTACAGGGCGAGACGAATGAAATTAAGCCATATGGTTATATCGCAGGGGTGTGTGCGCGCCCGGACCCGATGCGCGGCGCAACTGGTTGATTTATCGGTGCTTTCGCGTAGCGAAAACTAGCAAGAAGGTCGAATTGGATTACGCTGCGTGCACAAATTGCTTTATTCAAATGCAATTTAGGGGTCGCGCGCGTCTTTCGCAGACTGCAAAGGAGAGTTTAAAGAGGCCATTGTGTTAGGCACCGTTTCCCACGTATACACACGCTTCCGATCTATTGATTTTCTTTACGTTTACTGTTAACTGTTAAATTGAACGGACTAGTGGGACAGACATTTTGCTTATTACCTTTGGTGGTCGACAAATAACACAATAAGCTCTTACAAAAATAAGTTTTACAGTTATGGTGCACTGATCTTACCACAAGAAAACAGTGACAAAAAATTGTAGTTGATCGTTCGGAAATCATCACGAATTTACCCGCCGTGACCTCCTTGGGTCTTTTACGGCATAAGCGGAATTTCACGCCTAAAAGTCTTCGAAGCTAAGGAATTGTTGTTAACAAAACTTTTTAACATTCAAGTTTAAAAACTATTGGGTTGTGTAGTAGAGACCCTGAGAAGTATGCCTGAATTTTTTTTAGATGTTTTGGAAGCCTATAGGATAAGAAAAATAAGTCTAAAGATATAAAAGACACAATGAGTGAGGTCAGCATTAAAGATAATGGGGGTTACGGGGGAGTTAAATGGGTGTAAAATCGTTAGCGGGTTAATTGACTTTCGTCAAAGTCGGTGCGTCAGTGCTTCTGTCTATGAAATCCTTTTCACGTTGACCTTTCGAACGTGTACGTAGGTGGACATTAAAATTATCTTAGCTCGATGTATATTCCCGAAGTCGGTGCTCCTTCACGGAAAAAGAGGGTGGGGGTTGGGAAGAAGAATGCTCCGGGCTGATTACGTCGCAATATGTCACGAGATGTCACGATCGAACGCGTGGGCGAAGCTTTACTCCTATCGAAAGGGAATTTTTCTATCCGTTGAAACAAGTCGCTCGTCAAACGGATCGTGCGGGCAAACGAATTTCAGCTGATATTTCCGGGGGAGCTTTTTGATAACTTTTTGAACCGCCACGCGTGGGAAGCACGCGAACTATTTAGTCAGTATCTCCGTGAAAAATGGCATTAAGCGGAGTTATCCGAGGGGGGAGTCAAAGGTAGAGATTCACCCTCGTATTTCCAAACGTTAAGAAACACTTTAGCAAATCACTAGTCACGGCGTTACCCCAACGATAGAAACCTTCCAGCCTCTGGCCTCGACTGGCACGACTGCCCTATCGAAAGGGCCAGACTTTATCCGCGATTTATTTAAACGGCGATCACCCTCGGTCATAATATCGAAGCGTGAGTCCATACTTTCCGCTTCGTCCGCTCGGACTTCGATAATCCTAAACTGTTTGCGGAAGTCGACAGAGAGAGAGAGAGAGAGAGAGAGAGATCGTGGAGGGTCGAAGTCGAATAATTCCACGATCAAGTATTCGAGGAAGTTCAGGAAATTAAAAGAACGTTATTATCATGGGAATATGTTGGAAATGTTCTTCTCGATTCGATACTTTCAATTATTAACCCTAGATCGTTTCAATATTCTCTTACTTTAAATAATTGATAATGAACCTCTAGCTAACCTTCTTTTTGCCATTCAGACAAAAGGATCGTCGGAATATTCGAGTAACAGCACTTACTCAGCATCCAATAAGAATTCGATAGATAAAACTTACGTGTCTGCCCCTTGATATAATACAACTTTTCACTAGATTTCACTTTTGCCAACTGTTACTTAGCCGTAGCACGATATTATACGCCCGTTTTGTATCACCGTGGAAACTTCGCCCATTTCCCGCGCCACAAATCATTTCAATACGCGGGCCACCCCCGGTTTAATGGCAGGCAGCCCTTAAAGCGCGGCGAAAAGCTATCGCCGGTGGATTCTCTGTCGCGGATAAAGAGATGTATAGCCGGCGGCTGTATCGCGGACGAACCCCCTTCCCCCCGGATAAACAGTAAATTCATTTCGATCGGAGTCGGTGAACGCGTCATTTTCAACTGAGGCTTCGCCGCGCTGCGTTCCTTTACGGTTGCGTTGAGAAAAACAAGACGAAAAATTAAA